CTTAATGATCCTGCCAGGTGGTCGTGGTTTTCTTTGTGGCATTCTGCCAGGTAGTCCCCCATTGCCCTGTTTGGTTCTCGATCTTGTAACTGTCTTCTTTTTAACCTAGTGTCTTGGCACCGGTTGCACAGAAATCTTTGGCAGATCCCCCATTTGCAGTTTGGGTAAGCTGAAAGGACTGGAAGGCAAGGAAGGGATCAAGGGAAGCCATTGCAAGGAGCTGGACCCCGAAACCCAACATGTAACATGAGTGCAAGCTTACCTGGGAGCAAAGTACCAAACTGTTCCCCTGAAGTTGTTGCACTCTGGTGACTGGTGTTCCTCTACAGATAAATCAGGCGCCACATGCGGTACTCAGCGTCCACTCTCTGGGGATATTTTCTTCCTGAAGCTCCCGAGCAGCAACAGGGGCATGCTATTGGTACCGACTGGTATCGGCGACTCGGCAAGCCACCCCAGGCTTTTTCTTTTCAGGAGCCTATCGTCCCAAAGGCCTGGATAAAAATGACCAACTGGAAAGCATTTGTTTGGGCTGAGGCAACCCGTGCTCCTTACCTTGAGGTACGCAAGGGGTCCTTTTTGTGGCGGTTTTTGCAGTAGGGATGATGGAGTAAGATTGGCAGACCCTTCATTTTGAACAGCCCACTTTGTGCAGCCATCCAAGAAACCGGGGGTTCCTTGGCATCCAGCTTCTTGATGTTTCGCGCCCCTCTGGCGAACAGGTCGACGGTTTGGCAAGTGCTGAGAGATACAAAGCGTCCGCCTCAGATCTTTGCTCCGCGTGACCATGATTTGCATCTGATCTCCAAAAGTCAGCGCCGGAGCACACTGCCATGCCTTGTTGCTGTGCTGGGCAACTCAGTCTGATGATCAATGCCCGGGCAGGGCATAAGGCCGTCAAGGGTGGCCTTCCTTCCTTTTTCCAAGGGGCCTGCAGGCTACAAGCCACCTAGGGCCCGCCCTGCCCGCCCGGGCAGGGGCCCTTTTCCTTGCACCCAGGCTTGGTTTGCTGACAAATTGGGCGTGACATATTTTTCGTTGCCCGCAACAAATGTGGCAGCCTGCCTTTTTTTTTTATTCAACCTGTTTGTTGGTCCTAAGAGTCTTGGCCGCGAGTCTTCTAAAATTTGAGCCATCTTTTTCACGTCGATCCCCTTTTCAGAGGCTGCCATGGCGTGATTCGTGAATCGGCTTTTGGACGTCCCAAGCTGTACGTCAAGCTGCCGATTCTTGTTTTTTTTAAGTATCCAGGTGGGTGCCCCATTGTATTATTGTTGATTTAGACATATTTCAGGTTGGCCCCCCTAAGATGCAAACAAAAGCAAGCATCCGTTGTTTTAGGTGCCCCCGAAGGTGCCCGACACAAGAAAAAGCCGGCACCAACTGGAGGACCTAACCTTTAAAACCACCCAAAAAAGGGAAGACCGTCATAGCCTTGGAAAAGGACAACCCCATTCCTCACATTTCAAAGGGGATGACTTTGATGGTCGAACCCTGCCATTTCAGTGGTCACCCCAAGGTCCAGCATGGCGTGTCTTTAAAAAATGGGCCAGACATGGCTGGCTTTAAGAAGGGGTTTGCATCTCCAGTTCTTTCCCCAGGCACTTGGTCTCTGGCACGGAGTCCCTGAAGCGGATCACCGTGTCCTTCGGCAGCGGAGCCCTCAGCGGGCGAGGAAAATTCTCCCCACCACCGTGGATGCGGCGAAACGGGTTTTACGCGTTTTGCCGCGTCTTCGGTTTCCTTGGTTTTGGAGGGTGTCCTTTTTGGACGGTTTAAAATGTAAGTCTTTTTGAACATCAGTCGTAGGAATGGAGTTGGGCAACAGACACGTGTGCTATGAGCATTTCTTGCTGGTGTGAAATTGGTAGGGAATGTGGTTGAATGAACCCAGTCCCCTTCAAGGAAACTACAAGGGATGGCTATAAGGGTCATTTCCTTATTCCAGCACCAGCAAATTTCCAGTCGCACTAATTCTCTCGTTTTGGCTTGTCGCGAGCTCGGCAGAGATTGTTCTTGAGGCCAAGGTTGGACCAATCAACGGATCGCCAAGCATGCAATGCAGAGTTGTCCAAAGCACTTAAGACATGGGTTCGGTTTGGGGGTTGTTTCATGTTTTGTGCAGCCCAGTTTCTCCACTGAAGTGGCGTTTTTGGAGAAAGATGTATTTAAGGTTTTATAATGCTTAGTACGTGTTTGCTTGTGTGTTTGTTTGTTTGTTTGTTTGTTTGTTTGTTTGTTTGTTTGTTTGGTACCCTTTGAGGGTGACACCAAAGGGACAACTACCCAAGATGGGGGGTTACATGTGTTGGCACAGTCGCAGCTGCAGGTCGGCAATATGTCATCACGGGCAAGGACGCATCTCTGCGGCTGTTGGGTTGGATCTTTAGACCTTAACTTTTTGGATTCCCCTCATATTTCCTTTTCACCAGCAAAAAGTTAAACTTTTTGCTGGGATCTACAGCACCCGAGGAAACACACACACACACACACACACACTTGTTTTGGGGCTTTTGGAGACAAACCTGCATTGCCAGCACATGTCATGTGCATGTTGGGGCAGATGACATGGCACTTTAACAAAGTCAAGTTTGATCTTCCTCAAGGTTGCTGAAGTTTGCATTTGGCTTCGGAGTTTGGCGAAAAAGAAATCCACCCCCGCTCCTACAATTGTGGTTTACGTATGTAGCCAACGTTGCAACCAAAGTTGCAACCAAAAGTGAGCGATCTGTTTGTGGAAGGCCTTCCAGTTGTAGAGCGGGCAGTTCTCCCGAGAATCTTGGGATGTACAGTTGTTTTTTTCATGGGTAAAGCTTTGCAAGGGACAACAATAGTTGCGGAGTTGCGGATAGCCGGCCTCTTGATTCTTTACATGATGTTGGGTCCCTTCGCATCCCTCCATATGGCTGTGGGTCAAAACCCTGTACCCCTGGTGAACATCCAAATAGGTGGTACATGGGTGTTGATCCGCCCCAAAATGGAGGCATGGGTTATGACCCATGGCCATATCCGGACTCTTGATCCATGACATGATGTCGGGTCCCCTTTGCATCCCTCCAGGTGTTGATCGCCAGGACAGCACTTACTACGTGGTGCGTTGGAGCTGAGACGAATCCAAGGGCCCCACTCTTGGCCTGACAAGACTCAAGGAGTTATGACACATGAAGCTTAGCCAGCAGATTCATGTGGAAACAACATGAGACAAACAGGTTCCGACGCATCTCGATTTTCTTTGGGACCCCCTTTTTGGGTCCCATGTGAATTTGAGACTACTGCAACCTGTCAGAATGTCGTCTTCACAAGGAACTCTGTTCTTGGGGCTTCAGAACCACCTCAGGTCCATATCAGTGGGAGGGGGCAGAGCCATCTTGTGATGTCGAACTCACCTGGGGTACACCGAGCTTTTGCCATCAAGAAGGACCCTTTCATCTTGGTTTCTGTTTGATACATCTTCTACATTTGGGTGTCCCAACCTTGGCTACCGCTGTTGGTTGGTGTTTTTTTTGGTAAAAAACAATATAGGGCGCATCCATTTGCTGCTCGTTGGCTGTGTGGGTTGCGGGTTGAACTGCAAGCTGTATGCACAGCGCGGCATTGCGCGGGCCAAAAGGGCCACAGCGCTGTTCGGATCCGGGAGCCCCAAGGCTTTGGGCACGCAAATTCCGCACATCGCATCGCCAGACCGCTGGACCTTTTTGCCCTTTTTCCGCCCTTTTGGGTTTCCTGGATGCTCCCTTGGGACCAGCAAAAGTGAACTCTTTGCAAGTAAACTTTCCCGCAGGAGCCAGAACTTACATGGAACCAGCATCCCCAAAACAAGTTGTTTCCCTAGACTAGCCTGGTGACTGAAGGCATTTCCGGCAGTTGGACAGCTACCTCAGCTGTGTGCAGAATGAATTGAGACGGGGAGGGGCAAATGGCTTTAAGATGCTCCTGGATGCCTTTGCGATGTGCTAAAGTCCTTGACAGCCCTGAAGAAACTCATTGTTTCTCTTTTAATGACCGCTAGCTGCTTGGGAGAACCTAGGAACTTTGGTTAAGAGAATTGCTCCCGGATGAAGCTAAGTAATATGTTGTCCATAGGGCCCAGTGCGGGCAGAGCGCGGCAGAGTGCGAAGTGAAAGGAACGCTACTGCTGTCCGAATGGACTCACGTCGCTGCTAATTAGACAAGTTGGAAGTCAACTAGCTGTACATGAAGCAGGCCGCTTGCACGTGCAAGCACGTGGCACGTCTATTTGTATTTGTCCAATGTGTGCCAATTGTGTTGCGCACAAACCCGTTAATTCCCTAGCCCGTTCCGGACAAAGTTGGCAAACACGAACATGCAAGAACTTAGATGTGCAGACGGATATTGCTAGCCCATCCTGCCAGAGGCCAGAGGCAAGCTCAAGCATACTGCGTGAGTGTGATTTTTGACTCATTTGTCGATGTGGGTTGGCTCAAGGACAGCAGTTTCCGGTCCCTGTCCTTTGTCTCAAGCCCTTCCACATCGGTAGGGCAGCTGAGTCAGTGAATGACTGAGAAGCAACGCCAGCTTGGCTTTGAAGGGTTCCCTTTTTTTCCATACGGCTGTGGGTCAAAACCAATGGCACCAATGTGGGGGCGGTGCACCACCGATTTTGGTCTATTCTAGTGGGGATTGGGATGTTCACTAGGTGTACGGGATTTTGACCCATGGCCATATTGAAGATCGGCACTGCCACCAATTCATTGTTTCTAAGGTTTCTTCGCATGCGACTATGACACCATGCAAGTTTCTTGGCGCAAGCCCGTCGAGCAGCGTTGTTCCTTACAGCAAGCCCTGGCCCCGAAATACCCCCCATGTCCCCCAAAGGAAACTTGGTGGCTCCCAGCCATCACCTTAGCTTTTTCGCCTTTTAGTGTTTAGTGGTTGGTTTTCCATTTCGCCCACTACAAGTTAGTCACTTTGAGCGGGGGATCAGAAAACGGACAGCCTAGGAAAAGGACAAAGGGCCCCCCACCTCCACCCCCACCCCCCCGGAAACTCCGACCAAGCCGACCAAAGCTTCCGGAAGCAAATCGACGCCATGCCGCTGGCCCTCACAAAGCTCCAGAGTGCAGTCTCCAAAGTGAACCAGGCGCAGCTTTTGGATTTGATTCGAAGATGGAACTCTCCAAAGCCACACTTTAGAACCTCCCCCATTTTACGGGGGGTTCTCGAGAAATGATGATGTGGGGGGTGCTTGTCCAGTTTGAGGGAAACAACGGACTTTGAACTTAGGGTTTGGGGTTCTTTTTGCCACCAAACGGGGAAGGGACCCCCGTTCTCCAACAACCTAAACCACGCAGGAAGGGTGCTGGGTTAGTTGGGCTGTTTCCCAAAGTGATCTAGATCCCCTTTTAAATAGAATATCTCCCGATGAAAGTCAACGGACTTTGTTCATCCTGTTTTTTTTGGGGGCCCTTTCCATTGTGATTTATATCTACCACTTGGCGGGTCACTTTACAGGAGTTGTCCTACGAGAGTTGTGGGATGATCCTGGTGTGAGCCAATTGCCGCTTGCTGCACGGAGGGCTATTTGGAGGAGGAAATTGTGGTGGGTTGGGCTGGGTGGAGGTTTGGATGTCTGGTTGGTGGTTGATTGGGTTGGTTTTGGGTTGGGTTTCGGAGTTGGGTTGAGTCACTCGCTCGGTCGGTTGGTTCGATTGAGAGCTCAGCCGTTGTTGCAGGCCAATGCGCTCAAGGCCCCAGCCGCACTGGAGGAGAGTGGGATGGGAATGGCACAGGCTCGCCGTGAACTTTAAGCCCTCAGTGGTACTCTGGATGGACGAAGTCTTGAGAGACCCTGGCATGATGATTCCCTTGTAAATGCCATAAACAATGGTTTCCCATGGTTTCGAAGTGGTGCAGGATTTCGTCCATCCACAGTGGTCAAGACATGTGTCGCCAATTTGCTTGTTTTGGAGCTGCTGCCCCATGTCCATTGAGGCCTTGCAAAACAACAACTATGTACTATGAGCTTTCATGTCATGGAATCCCGACAGACAAGAGCGCACCCAAGTTATAGACGGCTCTCAACGTAAGTTTCTAGACTGGATGCGGCGCACTGTATCCATTGTTTCGGCAAAGGTGAAGGTGTCCTCCACAAGACCGACTGCGCAAATGTGTCTCAAGCTTTTTGTCACAATTGTTGTGTCAGATTCCAGGAAGTATCAAAGTCAGAAACTGGGGTTGTTGCTCGTTAGCCCATGAGTGAAAATGTGACTTTGACGTTGACCGAATAATGGAGCCAGTCCCTTTGAACTGGTGCTGAATGAAGAAGGCAGACTCGTTCAAAGTCTTAACCTCAGAATGGGATATGATCAGAATGGGATATATTAAGAAACAAAGAAAAGTGTTTTCTTCTTTGAACATTGTACAATGTGCAGACATGCTCAATGAGTATCGACACGGGTTGGACTACGCTGCTCTGAGAAGATATGAGGGTTGAAAGGTCCTTGACATGGGATGACCGTTGGGAAAAAAAACAACAACAAAAAGACGATGTTTCCCACCAAATGGGCAACGTTACCCATGGTCATTTGGGGGCCAGGAATATTGATCAAGTTATGGCATCTTCTTTGGCACGTAGGCATACGAAGGCAGTTTCCAGCGCACGGGAGCCCGCTCAGGACTCTCCCACGATCAAAGTATGCGTGCGGGTCAGGCCCTTCATCAAAGAAGAGGCAGCCATGGGAGTCATGTGAGCAATGGTCAATATGGTCGTGTTTTTTTTTAGAAAAAATATCCTCCAAAAATGGTGGTTTTATTTTTCGTGGCCTTTTAACCCCCCCGACCCCCAAAACAAAAAGACCAACTCGGAAAAGGCGGACCCACATTACGTTTGTTTGGTGCTGTGAGGATTATGACATCCGGGTAAACCGGCAGAGTGGCCATATCGTTTGGGGGTTGCATCGCGACTCATGTGACGGATGGGAGCCTCGAGCCTGCGGCCTCGGCCGTGGGTTGTTCAATTCATTTCTTCCGCCCTTTGCCAGGTGAATGGGGACCCAGCAACAGTCTGGTTCTCCTTTTGCTTCCCTTTAAGAACCCCCAAAAACAGGGGACCCGCAAGAAACGACACCCAGCACGTGGCTTTTCCTTGTGGGACAGATTTCTCGGATTTCTCGTCGCCGCAGGTGGAAGGCCAGCGCTCCGGCGGGGAGTGCAAGCTCTGCATCGACATGCAGCCGGGCCCTTGGGCCCCCTCCCTGGTTCCCCCAAAGTAAGACCCGAAGGCCTGACTGAGGCCTTGTTTTGGGAGAGGGTTGAGTCTTACAATCTGACCTGTTCACTGCCCCCCAAGTCGCCGCACCCAAGCAAACATGGATACAATACATCCCGCCTCACGGACAGGTCACGTCTTGCATGGGCAGGCATTGATTTCAAGCCATACGGCCCGTCTCCGCTAAACATGGTTTGTCCCCTATGGCACATGCCTACATTAACAATACGAAGTAGATGTCACACTGAGGACCGAGACGGGTCTCCGCATCTTGAACATGGAAGGCGACGCAGAGGATGACGCGCACCTTGCCCGCGAACTCAGCCAGCATTTTTGCCGGTTGAAGCTTTGGCGGACATTGTGCATGGGGATTTGTGGCCACCAACCAATGAGTCAAGGGCATTCCAGCTCTGCTCGATGGGCTCTTTGCTTGCGACACTGGGGTTTCCAAGCGATGATGCGTTCATCCGGGTTATGATAGTATACGCTCCCGTCATCTAATGTTGCCCGCGTTCCGCTCCAAAAGTGGTATGAATCCCCAATGGGGAGACCCCCTATGAGTCCACCAGAAATTCTAGATCTGCAGTCATGTAAACATCGCAGGGCGCGGGCCTAGAATGTCTGACATGCTCAGAATCCTCATAGAAGTATATATAGCTGATTGGAAGCAAGCACCAAGCATAGGTTGCTGGTTCTCAGTAAGGAATGACCGTTCCGGGTGTTGGGAATGAACCCAGGGGCCCATTAAAGGAAACCACAAGGGACGGTTTATAGGGGTCATTCCCTCATTCCTTTCTCAGAGGCAGCAAGATAAACATGATTTGGGGTGAACAGGCCGCAGTTCTAGATCGCAATATAGTTTCACCTGAATCAAGAACTTCCATGAATGGATCCTTCATCATAGGTTCGCTTGTTTTACCCTCTTTCTGAGGGATCGCCTGAAGCTACGCAGGATAGGAATCCTGCAATGCGGTAACATGCTTTGAACAAGGGCTGCTACTGCTACTACCACTACCACCACCACCACCGCCGCCGCCGCCGCCACCACGACTGCGACTGCGACTGCGACTGCGACTGCGACTGCGACTGCGACTGCGACTGCGACTGCGACTGCGACTGCTACTGCTACTGCTGCTACTACTACTACTACTACTACTACTACTACTACAAATACTACTACTACTCCATCAAGGCATGTTTACCACATGCGCCTTTTGGCCGGCAGAAGATACCACTTCTGGGCCTGAATTCGAAAAGGTGGCATGTAGCCTTCTTGGAGTGCTTGTCTTGTTTTCCACCTTGAAAACCTGCCAAACACAGTTCATGGACTGTACGTATTGTTGGTTTATGAACAAGCAACTCCAACTCTTTATATGCCTGCCAGGTTTTGCTTTAGATCTGGCCCGTGTTTCCCTAACGACAATCACCAACCAGAGGGGTGGGCGGCATGACACGACCTTTGCGAGTCATCTATTTTCGGCAAGCAGTTCAGGCAATGTCAACCCAAAAGCTGATCCCCCTTTAGGTGTGCTGGTCTTTCATTCAAGGCGTTCATTGAAATTGGATGAACTTGTTTGTTTGTCCTGAGGCTTCCGTGGATCAGTTGATGCTGCGGTGTCTTTGACCAACACAAAGGGGTTGTACCCTCCCACTCGCACGGAGCCTGCAGATCCCTGAAGACCATTTTCCTCTGTGCTCCACGTTGGGTTCTCGAACAAACGCGTCAGGCGCGCCTTCGAATTCGATCGTGCCTTGGAGAGATGGGTTGAGCATCTGGGTTCGGAGCGTGGGTTGCTTCCAAATATGTGTATATATATATATATGTATATGTGCGGGTGTCTCAAAATAAGGGTACCCCCCAAAATTGGGCGGTTTTCCTTTTGTTTTCCCTGAAGTCACCCCAAACCGGGTACCCGCAAAACAAGACAGACCCATATTTCGCATTTCGGTATGCGACTAGTACCGAACTCTCCAGACAAAACAAGAACCGCGCCAAGCTGTTGTGGGCGTCTTGAGGACCAGAATAAGCTTAGGCGGAACAAACAAAACGATGGTGAGCGGAAGGAATGTCATTGTTCGGATTGACGAGTTGTAGGACACAATCACACTTGAAAACGTGGCAAATGATCCTCTCGTATGAGATCAACCTTGTCAGGGAGACATGGTTGAATTAGTATTTGGTCCGAGCATAGCGGAGACTTGCCAATTTTTCCGCAAACCAGCACATTGAGCGTAGTCAGTGTGCCCGATTCCACATAGAATAGTCAGAACAGTATGACGCTTGTCTTTGTCATCATACTATATGCCGCGCATGACATGGCGGGGATGTGACCATGGCACACAAAGTTTAGCATAAGGAAGCTTGGTTTGCCGGGCCAAATATCCTTTGAAGCACTTAACTGACCGATTTGAGCAGGGAATGAGGGAATGACCCTATATACCATCCGGTTTGGGCTTCGCTTTCCCTTCGCGTTTGAAAGCCTTGGGCCTAAGAGATCACACTCGCGGGTGTAGACATGGTTGTTGTTGCGAAACAGTATTTACATTTTTGCTTCTTGTGGTTTAGTGGTTGAAATCCAACCACTTAACTACTAAAAAATGATTTTGGGCTCCCCTTCCAACGTCAACTAGGTCCCCCAGTAGTGCCTTTTCTCTCCCCTTTTTTTGGGGAGGGTTCCCCTACTAAAATACACTACAGAAAAAAAGTTGGTACACTTATTCTACCCTCTTTACTGGAGGACCTAGTCAACCAAGAGCCATGGGTTTGGGGAGGCTGTGAGAAAGGGCAGGTGGAGGGTCAGTGGCAAGTGTCAGGTTCCAATTCGGGCCGGGGATGCTTGTGCTTCAAAGAAAAAAAACGCCCCGGCACAGGTTAACATTGATATCCAGTGCGAGCCAAGAGTGCCAATAGCGCGGGCTTGGACAACTTCATGGAATCCCATTGGTGGCCAGAGACACCGCCAAAGGCCAAAGCAACAAATCACACTGGCTTTGAAGTTACCCTTTGTCCAATATCGGAAGTGGACGTTTGGAGGGTGGACTAACATCCGCTTTGAAGGTCCACTTGTTCGCTTCCATCGTAAAACGGGTCGCGGTTTCCGGAGAGCCCAGGATGCATGCCACCACAACCTAGTGCAAGAGCGAAGCTCATGTTTGCCACGAAGCGTGCCCCAAGTGCAATATTTTTGAGATCTGGATCTAAGTAGAACCAACCTGTCTTTTTCATATGGGGCTGGGGGTACAATTGCAACAATGAAACAGATATATATATATATATATATATAAACAGCTTGGGGGTACAACTGGGCCTGGTGGGGTACAACCAATGGGGCTGGGGGGTGTTCCGCTGGCTTCTCCGCCAAATTGATGGCGAGCTCACCGATCGGGAGTAGCACGAGCTCATGGTAAAGATCCTTTACTTGGGGATCCTTATTTCAGGTTTTAGTTGGGATTCAGACCACTTTTGCAGCCCCCACCCCCATATGTTGCTAAACAGGTGTGTAGACCAAATCCGGGGTTAGCATTACTTGGCCTTCACATGGTGGTTGTTGGGAAACATTTGGCATTTTCGCTTGTTGTGGTTTAGTGGAAAATCCCCACTTGACAGCTCAAATTATTTTTTGTTGCTCCCCTTCCAACGTCAATCAAGTGCACGTGCGATTCAGTTTGCCTGCCGAGGATGCTACTGGTCCCACAGTCGAGACCACCCGCTTTTCGCCACCCAGGAAACCCTGCAGAAGGAGCAAAACGCGAAACCAACCGCGCGCGAAAAGCTCGCAGGATCCGCCGTATGTTCAGCTTCTTGCTGGTGCGATAAGCAGGGAACAAGGGAATGAACCTGGAGATTCCCTTAAAGGAAACCACAGGGGATGGTTTATACGGGTCATTCCCTCCTTCCCTGCTGAGCATCAGCAAGGCTTCCCCCTAATCGGTGCATTGGGTTGGTGGTTTGGAGGTTGGGTGGTGGTTTCCCAAATACCCACTGCAAGAACCAGGGGTTTAGATCCAAGTTCAATCCACCAATCCAAGCATAAGAGATATTTGATTTACGTTTCCGGCTTTCTGCAAACCGTTTCTATGCAACCCAAGTGCAATGCGGCATTGGAGGGTGGAAGCTCCAGTTGCACTGGTTATTGATGGTCCCGGAATTCTTTTTTACCCAAGGGTTCAACCTTGCAGTGTCCGCATTCCTGTTTGGGGGCTCCAACATGTGGGTGTGGGTCAAAATTAAACCACCAGGGGACCGCAGGTTTTGGTCCATGTTACCACTTACCAGGGTTCCATTTCGGGTACCTATTCTTGACCCACAGCCATGTCTGATTGCCGCAACGCTGAAGGACAGAAGTGTCGCTGTTGTGTGGGTTTTAAGGGACCCCTGAACCTTGTTGGGAGTTAACCTTGGCTGCCCAAAAAGCAAAGCTCTCTATACTTCATACAAATATGTTGTAAACAAATAAAAGCCCAAGGTGGTTGCCTCATATTGTCCAGCGTGTTTCTAGAACATGTAGCTTACATGTCCAGCCCACAAACATGTCTCGCAGATGTTTGTAAACCTATGAACGTTTCTAGCGAACAGCTCGGGCTTTCCGATTTGCTTCTGGCGGAGTCCGCAAACGTCATCACGGGAGCTCTTGTTTGGCATGACGGCTGGTGTCCAGCCATGCAACAGGCGCGAGCCGATTTGAGATCTATGCCCTGCAAAACTCGAGGAGCCATTAGCTCGGCCGAAAGCCCCACGTTTGACCATTTGGGTTTTTCAAGTTTTCGCACTTCCGCTCCCGAACTTCCATGGATATCTTTGTGTCCTTTGGGCAGATTCTAGGGCTTCAAGCTGCTCGCAGCCATTTTCCGCGTCAGGAGCTGGGCGAGACCATGCGCCTTGCATTGGAGATGGGAGGATTCCTTTTTGTGGCAACGGATATGATCAGCACGCGCCTGCCACTGATCCCCAGTTGCCCAGTGGTGCCCTTTACTTTTTTTGGGAAGGGTTTCCTTGAAAGTCAACCACCAAAAAAGGGCGCCCCTTTTTCCTATGGCCACAGGGTATCTGAGGATCTGGGTCGAAAGCCGTAGACCTGCTACCTTCCCAAAATCTTGGGATGCATCACGAGTCAGGCAAATATTGCCATCAGCTCATATCTGAGAAAATGAGCCACAATCAAAACCCGGGTAGATGAAGGTTAGTCAGGGACGATCCCAACCATACATAGCTGCGGATATTCGCCTTCTTAATCCTGTACATGGTTCTGGGTACCCTCCCACTAACTAACATGGAAGTGCACAGACCCCCTTTCGAAGAGGAAAGTCGTCTTGCTACAGGGGTCTGTGCACTTCCATGTTAGTTGGTGGGAGGGTAGACCATGTTAGTACCGATCGGTGTTGATTGCGACTCAAATGACCATTGACTCGTATACGGCCCCTCCGACCAGGCAGACAGTTGCCGCTGCCCAAGGCTTGAGCACGCCATGAACGGCTTCAACAACTGCATCTTCGCCTATGGCCAAACCGGGAGTTCCGTGGCAGGTCAAGCCGTTCTCCAGGCGTTTGCCGGAGATTTGGGCGTGGTGTGACGATCCATTTTTCGCACGAAGCGGGAGGGGAATCCAGTGTTTCCATGTTGATTTGGGGAAGCAACATTGTCTATGACTTTGGCAGAGTGTCAATGACTTTGGCGAATCTTTTTCAAACTGATTGTACGAGACACCCATTTCTCGTGGTCCCTTTTGTGGCACTGACACAACACCAAAGCCTTGTGCTCTTCGCAGGCCAAGTATAGACTCACTTCCTGAGTTCATGAACTTTAAACTTTTTGGGAAGACCATTTTAGTGGTAAATACAAAGTTTGAACTTTTTTTGGGCCATCCACTCAGCAATTGAGTAGAATTTGGGTCCAAAAAGAGGCTCAAGTGTCTTCCGTCCCTTCCATTGGCCCCTTGCAAGTTCCAAGGACCCCGCCAGTTTCAAATGGCCTGTTCAGTCGGTGAAACGGCCGGAGCCAACGCAAGTATGAATAGGGAGCCCTCTCAAAAGGAGTGGACAAGGGTCAGTGAGCATCGATCGCCATCGTGTTGGTGTCACCTGACTTTGAGCGGAGCGATGTAGAGCCCTTTGAACGCTTGGGTGCGGAATAGCGCGCCATCTCGAGTTTTCCGCTTTTTGAAGGAGACCAACGCATGTTTCCCAGGCGCCCGATGTAGTTGCCCCAGAAACGGCTTGTCGATTAAACCGGTTTGTTCAAAGCAGGTGAACACCAGCGAGGGGACACTCTCCTGCACATTGACATGGAACTCAAAGCTCCATTCTCGGTAGAGGAAACTCCGGTTGGGGGGTCCCCCCTTTTTTCGGGCTTCATGCTGATTTGCAGAGGAGAAGCCGTTGGCCGAGGCGGGAAATCCTACAGCGTCCTGGGGGGCAAAGGCGAAGAGCGAGGTCTCTTGCCCCGGGTGGTCGAAGGGCTACTTGGCGAGGTGACTGCGCTTGGCCATAGCGGGAACCATAGAGGGAGCCTGCTTTTTTCTGACCCCCAACCCAAGAGGTGTCATATGGCTACGACGTTGATGGCAGCCAGACATTTATTTTATCTCGTTTTTGGCAGTTGGCAATTGTAGGAGCTTGGCGGAGACAATACGCACGCTCTCATGATTCTTATGAGTGCAAACAACAAAATGAGGTGTGTGACACGTGCCAGCCACGCTATCCACATGAAATTAGGTGGTCCATTTGGGACGGACATGACAAGACATGCAGCAACGCTAATTTTCCCATGTCCCTTGCGGGAACCGCACCAGTCATGAAGTCTTAGTGGAGCTTTGCATGCTGTTGTTAAATGTGCCTATCACATGCAGACCTCATGCTTGCCATTGGCACGACCAGCACACATGCTCACTGCTCAACGGCCTTGCATTTGCCCTTCAAAGAGCCAATGTTTTGGGCTGGAGCGGTGATGTGTACAGTCAAATATACATCACATGTGAATGTCTTGGCGCATGAAGTTGCTCATGACCCGTCCGGAAGCTGACGATAAGATGTTGAGATATTCTTGTTGAGACACATTGTCAATTTCCCCATATGCCGGAAGCGCAAGCAACCAAACAACCGACGCCTTTTGGTGATACTTGGTTGTGAATGGAAAAACCTCCAACCCTCAGACAAGACACCGGCACTTTTCTTTGAATTAAAATAACCTATATATATATATTATATATATATTATATACATAAATATCAAAACAACAAACACACAAACGACACCTTTGGGTGATACTCGGCTTTGAAGGGAAACAACTCCTCCCAACTCGGGGCTTTGCCAAAAAAAGCTGCCCGAGGCTCTTCGATCACTTTGCCAAGCTGCCAGAGGCACGGGAGAACCGGGTTTCCCTCAGTTTTCCCTTACCCATAAAAACACACCAACAGGACAGCCATATGTCAGCCTAGCCATACTGTGGATGGACGAAATCCTGCACCACTTTGAATCCATGGGAAACCATTCTTTGCTGGTGTTTGCAGGGGAAACATCATTCCAGGGTGTCTTAGCTGGTGCTGGATTTCGTCCATCCACAGTATGTCACTCTCCCAACTTCTACGGAAGTTCATGCAGACGTGGCAGATGTGCCCTTTGCATTCGCTTGCGTATTTATGTTACCTGACAGACAATTGTCAATGAACACCATAGCATTCCCCTGGACATATCTTTAATGTGTGGGCGCATACACAATCTCTTTCCTTGAGCCGTGCAACCCGCTGGGTTCAAATTGGAGTTGTCTCAGCTGGTCCCGTTGATGGAAGGCCCGAGTTGGTGGCCGAAACCTGCAAAGCAGTTGAAGGTCAACCGGACCTTCGGGAAGGTCGATCACTCTTTTTCGTGCAATTTGACAAACAAAGCTTTAATACTGATCTAAACACATGTTCTGAGTGTACGGTCTTTGACAGCTTGAGTACCTCGCGTGTCCAGGCGAAGCTAGAGCTCTCTGATTGTTTGGAGGGCGGATGGTAATTTCTACTTGTGTATCCTGTTGTCCTATTGGTCTGCCATCTTTGTATGCAGGATCCAAGGTTCTCCTTACCACACCCCGACTTGCTTTGGTGGCCTTGAAAGAGTTTATTTGCCACCAGCAATCATGAGGACCATGAGGGTACATGGATTTCCGGCTTTGGAGCCATCAATTGGTCAGGGATCGGATGCGTTCTCGCTCGTCAGTTGAAAAACGCAATGTCAAGTACTTTCGGACCAGTCAGCTGCTGTGACCCCTGCAAGGATTGCCCCAGTTGAGGTTTCCCACAATTCGATTAAAGAAAAAGACAAACAGTACACCAAATTTCTGATATCCTGTCCATAAAGACGCATAGCTTTCTCATAAACCGTCGTTGACGAGACCCGTGAACCAGATTCGTGGCTTCCCTCTAAAGCCAGGAAACGAATTTGGTACCAGCTCCACAAAAGAGGTTTGTTGCTTCCTCCCAAACCGTGGCCGCATATCCCGCCATCGATCGAACTTGCTCGGAGTCTCGCGCACTCGCGCAGGGCGCGACCTACAAGACTTTGGCGCCTTGGCGCGGACAGGATGCGAATCAATTGAACACTTCTATTTGCTGAATATGCTTTCTTTTCCCTGTTGGTCTTGAAGGGAATTGATTTCACTACTGGACATATGTGTGATTTTCCTCAGGGGGCTTCTTGCAAATGCAAGAACATCAAACGTCCAAAGCTGCAATAGTTGCAGATGAAGATCAAACTACCAGTTAACCTCCCTCCAAGAATGGAAGCTGATCGGAGGGTTTTGGAAGACGCCTTTCTCTTTGGGGGCACCAGGGACCCAAAAAGTCCAATTCCAGGATTGGAAAGAGGGTAAACACCTGGTTGCATAGGTGTCCCTTTGATCGCTCAGATTGATTAGAATTGGATGGGTTCCACTGGTTGGTTCGATGCCCCATTTACCAGCGCCATCTATTTGTCTGAAAAGTCACCTGAGCCACAATCAAAACCCGGGTAGATGAAGGCTTAGTAAGGGACAATCCCACCCATAAATAGTTGCGGCCGCCTTCTTAATTCCTTACATGGTTCTGGGTAGACCATTTTAGTACCGGGTTTTGATTGTGACTCACCTATGCCTGGTAATAGGGCTTGTCCCATTCTACCGGCTTTTAGAAGGCTGACATCACAGGGCCCCCGCTGTTGGGGCCGTGGCAAGCGATCTCAGGTCGCTTTTATGGAGATTTACAACGAACAGATCCGAGACTTGCTGGCCTCTTGGCAGAGATTTGGCTGTGGGTCAAAACCAATGGTACCATTTTGGGGTAGGTGTACCACCCATTTTAGTCTATTTTAGTGCGAATTGGAATGTTCACTGGGGTACGGGATTTTGACCCATGGTCATTTGAGCGCGCAGTTGACTGTCGCAAGTGGTTGTTGTGCCAGAGTATGGCTGAGGTGTGGAGGGTGCTGGGGCTATGCTAGGGCGGCACACAGATCTGGCGAGCACTCAGTTGGTTGTTTTAGAGAAGTTTCAGCTTTCTAGTGGCGCGAGCCAAAAATTGAGCCCCTGGCGTGTGCAACATATGAGCCCTCATATCTAGCTGAAGAGGGAGGTGAGACCTTGACTGCTATTGGGCAACGGATCTTTAGACTTCAACTTTTTGGTTGAAATCATTTGGGGTTTTCAACTAAGGCCACAAAAAGTGATTCACTTTTTGCAGGGGGGTCAACAGCAACCACGAATACAGCTCATCCAATAGATGATGGTAGAAGTCAAAGCATTGGAGTGGAATCGGGCAACCCCCGCAAACAAAAACAACGGCGTCTGTTTAAAACGGAGGATTCGGAGACATTCCAGTTTGGCACGGCTCAAGTGTTTTCCCAACTGTGGGATGCCTCTCCGTCAAAGCAAGCCACATCCAGGCGTCCAGGGTCGTTGATACAGCGAGATGCCCCGGTTTTTATCGGCTGGTGCAGCAGGAAAGCAATGGATTAATTAGCTGACTGCCAATGTTACCCAATCCCGCCTCATTCCAGTGCAGGGTACCGGGTATTCCACTTTGAATCAGGACCAGCTGTGGGGGACCACGCTGGTAATCCATGGTGTGAAGGTGACCATGCCAGGCAATGACATTCAAACTTAGATACTGAACAGTTTCCTTGGGCTTTCTTTAGGGGCCACGTTTCTACCCTTAGGGGTCGGCTAGGGGTCGGCTGGGGTCGGCTTGGGCCTTGCTATGGGATCAAGGAGGGCTCCTTGGCCCTGTTGCGATTCCGTGTGAGGGGGGCTTACCCGAACACATCAAAAAAACTGGGTACACTCCCACGCGTTGCACGTGAAACCTGACTTTTCGGGGTGCTGGTAGACCATTTTCCTTTTCAAAGGGACCTCCTGTCAGGTTCCATGCTAATTGGTGGGAGGGTATTAAGAATCCCTACGACCAGGTGAATGACCATCATTTCAATGGTGGTTAAGAATTCCTACAACCAGGTAACCAGGTGGATGACCCTCCCTGTCAGGTTCCACATGAATTGGCGGGAGGGAACCTCCCAGAGAAAACCTCGGAGCAGCCTCCGGAGGCCCCCGCCAACGACTCGGAGACCAAGAAGCTGGAGGTGAAGCAGCACCCGGTGCTGGGCACGATTGTGCCAGGCGCCGTGGTCAACCCCAGTTTAGTAATAGGGGGGTGTCCCCCTCCAACAAACATGATTCCCTACTAAACCCAAGGACACCCCCTAATAATAAACTGGGTTGAGTAACGGGGTCAGCATTAGGGGGGATCTTCAAATACTGACCTGCAGATCAATGTGGAACGAAGAGAAGGGGGTCCAAGCGAAATTCCACACAAGAAGGGGTGTGTTGGGTTTCATGTCAATCTGCCGGAGTGCTCCCTCCCCAGCCTCTCTGTCGGGGGTTGCCCAACGTCTTGATTGCCCCCAAACCCCAAAAACCCTCGGATCGCCAACACATGGTTGTTGTTGCGAAACAGTTTTTACATTTTTGCTTATTGTGGTTTAGTGGTTGAACTCCAACCACTGAACTGCTTCAAAAAAACATATGCTCCCCATACCCAACGTCAAAACCCCGCGGATCGCCCAAGAGAACTCCCGCCGGCCGCGGCAGCGGGCAGGTCTCACCGAAGCGGCGGTAGCCTCCAGTCCGGAAGTCTTGGCCCTGGTGGACTACGGCAGCGCCATGAGGCGCAAGCGCAAGCGGCGCAAGGGGTCGACGGGTCGGTCGGTCGACGGGAGGGGCATGGGTTGCAACCCCCGTGGCTGGTGCCTTTTTGAAGGTTGGAGCCCCCCCCCCCCCCCCAAAAGAATGGGGGGGTCGCAGATGTGTGGTTCTGCTTGAAGGTTGGACACCCAAAGATGGGGGGGTCCTTGTCTCCTTTTGAGAGGGAAACGCCGCCAAACATCGGGGGAGAAGTCCTTTTAGCGTGCCTATAATAAACCAAACTTTTGCAAAATGTACCCTGAACCCAAAGACACATCCAAAAGTGAACATTCCCCTGGATTTAAGTACCCGGCAGAGTTTTTCAGATGTGGGCGGAGTTTTTCAGGTGTGTGCTCGAAAAGTGATCTGGAGCTCTGAAGCCAAAATTGCTTTTTGGATATATTTTGTTGAGCAACAGCCAAATGGGACATTCTTTGAAGAACTGCAACTGATCCTGGTTCTTTTTCGCTTGGATGCTGAGAAAGAGGGCACTGTTTGCCTATGAACTGACTATGAGTTCCATTGAAGTTGGATATGACCTCCCCATGTAAATAGTGTACCAACGAGTTCCCCATTGAAATCCATACCCATTTCATGCGTCGTTCCTTTCCTTTTCCCAACAGCAACACCTCTTACTGCCAAACGGGGCAGTCAAACGGCGGACGGAAGTAATCCTGCACCGCCTCAGGGTGTGACCCACACACAGGTCATAGGGTGGAAGCCCCTCGCCCCTAATTCAATGTTCCGTGACACATGAGGGTGGTGCGGGATTTGTGTTAATGAGCGTGTACCTTTCGAACAACCAATGTTAAGTTGGGAGAGCCAGTCGCGACGAGCATGTTCTTATTCGGGTGGTGCAGGATTTCTTCCGTCAACAGCAATAGGGGCTCCAGGAGGGTTAATTACCCTCCCACCAACTAACATGGAAGTGCAAAAAGGCCCTTTCCAAGAGGAAAATAGTCTTTTTACACGGGTTTGTGCACAAACTCATGTTAGCTGGTGGGAGATGGTGGGAGGGTTAGCAGCAGCTTCCGAGGTCGTTTTCGGGGAATGAATCTTTGTTGATACTGTTGGGGATGCTCCTTGGGCTTGTTTGAGTCGGCAGCTTTTTGGGAGCTGCTTTGCATGAATACCGACGGTTGGAACGAAGACAATGGAACGGTTTCCTCTTTTAGGGGTTCATCACCTGACAAATCCAGTCAGTATCATGAAGGCTCGCCCAAGTGATGGGTTTCATGTCGGCTTGCTGGTCAGGAAATTCAACTATCGGTTTGGTTCTAAGAATGGCTCCTCCGATTGCTTGGTTTTTTTTTTTAAGAAATGTTGATTTTCCACTGGACAAAAAACGCGAGGGGATGGGTTTGTTTCGGCTTTTCCCGTAGCTGGACAAAGCAGGGATTCAGCTCGTGTCGTTGTATGTTCTCGGGGTGTTTGGGAAGCGAGAGAATGCTTTATGGGGGAAGATGGAGAAGCAATGTTCGATCAGAACAGCCTTTCGTTCCGCACCTTTGAGCATACCTCGGAGTTTTTGCGACCTCCCCAACAAATGATGTGACCTGACACGGGATCCGATTTATTGGGCTTCATCCAGATCCCCTGCTTTTGCTTCCATTCGCTTCAGCATATGTCTCTTTCATTGTTCCCCGGGTTTTTAAGGGAATTTATTTCACTGTTGGACATATATCTTCCAATGTTTTCCAGAGGGCGTATTCGTTCAAATGGCGGATTGACCGTGCCCGTCTCAGCCAATCGCAGGCACGTCTCCGCCACTGCCATGCGTCTTGGCTCCGGTCGCGTCGATACGTGTTCGCGGCCGAGTGGGCATTCGCCCTGTCTCAAACCCTGGTGCTTGTCTTTCCGAAATGCTACATTCTAAGGGACACTTCCCCATTCTTTCCAGGGATCCTTCTTTCCAGAAAACCACCAAAAACCCTGGGGAAACAGCTGGAAAATACTGGGGAATCAACCCCTAGATACATAGTGTGGATGGACCAAAGCCATTTTGCACCATGAAATGAAACCATGGTTGAAACTATTGTTTGTTGGTATACAGGAGCATCGAATCATTCCAGGGATTCTTGATAAATATGTCGTTTTGCCGAATCTCCGAATTCTCTTCGGCGAAGTATGGAACACTTCACCAATTAGGAACTGCTGTGACGGCAATTTTGCCCTCGCAGGGGGTATCTCACCACAGGCTTGCCAGCAAACCCTGCCCATTCGTCCTGCCTATACAAACCTACTGCATTATTAAGCCAGCATCAAACAAATCCAGAACGACAAAAACAGCAGCTGGCCAAACATATCCATCCGACTTTCATGACAACTGATTTCATTTTGACCTTGATAGCTTCTATGTGCGGCAAAGGGTTCGGACAAGAACTGAGGTTGAACCTCTTGGTAGACCCCGGTCCTATCTATTAGGGGGATCTTTGTTGAGGGTGTATACCCCGCTGTTTAGTGGTTTCAAAGCAACACCCAAAGGCAAACTATGTTTGTGGTCCAAGCCAAAACAAATGTGGAGTTTGTTTGCCAGGCTCTTGATAGCTGAGGAACGCAACCAGCAGCAGGAGCAGAACGCTCAGTGGGGCAGGGCCGGCAGACATCACGGGCCGGAGAATTTGTTGGCAATATCGAAGTTCTGCAGAGGCAGTGCTCGTTGTGTCCTCTTCGGGTGACCTAGAATGAAAAGGGTGCCACAATTTCCCGGCCACACAAGTCATTTTCGGCAAATCGGAGCGAGCTCAAGGCATCCCGGAGTTCAACGGCAACAAAAAACACGCACTTGAGATGTTTCCTGCCAGGATGCCTCCAGGGGCCATTCAGGGGGCAGGTAGGTGACATATCGGGGACCTGCAGCACATGCTTCAGACGTTGTTGCTTCACTGACCAAGACCTAGACACTCCTGAAAACCACCATGCACCTGGGAATTCCTTGATATTTGCGAAAAGGCAAGCCCTTTTGGGGGACACTTGTGGGCACCGGCCTACCTGAAGTCTCCATGACCCTTTCAACCCTTTATTTTGGGTAATGACCCCATTTTTAAAGGGTCATGGAGACTCCAGGTATGTCTTTTTTCCACTGAGGTCACTGCATCTTCACCTTCAAGACAAACCTTACGGAGCCAGAGCAGCCATCCAAGGTGTCCCAGAGCCTGAGTCAGCAATAGCGAGCCAAGGCGCCAGTAACCGCGGCCAAGGCGTCAGCAACCGCAAGCCTAAGAGGCGTTGGTGTTTGAGAGACTGCCTCCTTCTCTCGTCCCCCGGGCCCATTTTGAACTCGAAGTGAAACGTTTCAACGCCCACCCACGGGGCTTTTTGGGTTGGAGCCCTTCCATTTGGTTAAGAATATCTCATATTTCCCCCGTTGGTTTTGAAGGGAATCGATTTCACTGCTGGACATATTTGTTGTTCTCCAGGGGACTTCAGCAAATGGAGGTTAGCTTTGTAGCTTTTTGGTGTTTAGTGGTTGGATTTCCATTTAACCCACTAAATAGTTATATATATATATATGTTCCAGTCTATTTAACCCACTATATGTACATATATATATATATATAATATTATATTTCCAGGAAGCTTAAGCAAAGGATCAAACCCCAAGGACGCATCTGGTGGACCTGGCCGGCTCAGAGCGTGCGGGTCGCACGAAGGCCACGGGCGACAGGCGCGTTCCGTTGGTCTCCTGGGGTTCAGGGCCATCAGGGGTCACTATATGTCCCTTTTTGGTGGTTAACATCACCTTTTGGGCAACCATGAAAGGTGAGTGTCCCTTGGTGGGTGCGATGTTTTAAGAGGAAATATAGGGAGCCCTGACCATTGAAACGCTGGTTGGGTTAATAGAAAGCCTGTGGACATCATTTCATGGGTGTCCCTTCATGTCCACCTGGTGTTCAATCCACCACTAAAACAATGTTTGGGTTCATATAACCACCATTGTTTAAGGGTTGTCATCATCCAAATTGGGTCAACCATTCTAATCATACAACCATGGTGACAATTGCCAAACCACCATTGGATGATGACAAACCACCATGGAGGTCCTTTGGATGATGACACTGTTTACTGTTCAGGATTGACATCATCCAAATTGGGTACCAAGGCCATTCTTTTAATGGGGGCTGAACCCTAGGGTGAAGGTGACCCCTTCGTCACCTTCACCAACCCCATGGTGTCCGACATGTTTGCCGAAAGTGCCAGAGTCAGCTGAGCAGCTGGCAACTACAGTAAAACATGGGAGGAGCCGTGTCGTCTACGAACGGCACGATGCGGGAATAATTTTGCTGCTTGTCCCGGGGAAGGGGACGGTCCATATGTCTAAGGGTTTTTGTAGTACTCCCTGGGAATACACCCACGGGGTATTGACCCCATTTAGGCACATTTCCGGATAAAACCGTGTTATGTTGAGCATTCTGGGTCATGTCCCAAGGGTGTAATCCCAGGGTGTAATACAAAAGCACTCAGACATATGCGTTCCAACCTCTTCTCCGAGTATGTCACGTGAAAGCCTGCGGTCAGGCTCAAGGAGGGTGCGGCGATCAACCAGAGCCTCTCAACCCTGGCGAGGCGGGAAGAGGAGAAGTTTCTGGGTGGCTCCCAGCCATCCGGTTCCTTAGCTTCCATTTGGTTAAGAATATTTGTGTTTTCCCCTGTTGGTTTTAAAGGGAATCGATTTCACTACTGGAAATATTTATATATTTTCCAGGGGACTTAAGCAAATGGAGGTTAGCTTTTTAGCTTTTTAGCTTTTCTAGGTCCCCCAGCAGGTGCCCTTTCTCACCATGTTTTTGGTTGGGAGGGTTCCCCTGCTAAAATAGACAAAACATGAAAAAGGGCACCCTTCAACCCGGGCAGCCCGAAACGGCTGATGCCCGAAGCAGCTTCTTCCTTCCTCCGTGGAGAAACTCGTCTCGTGAAGCGCGTGCTCAAAACCGATCCCCCGCCGAAAGGGAGGATTCCCCACAGAGGACACCCCCCGTTTTTACTAAACAATGCTTGGGTTTTTTGTTTGAGCCACTGGCTCAAAACCGATTCGGGGAGATGAAGGTTAAGGGAGGATCCCAAGCATAAATAGCTGCGGATCTCCGCCTTGGTTCTGGGTCGACCATTTTAGTACCAGGTTTTGATTGTGACTCAGCTGAGACTCCCAGCGGTTCCCCTTCACTTCCACGCAGATGCCGTCCAAAACCTATTTGCGACACACCTGAAAGATGGCAAGAGTGGCATCCCCTTGCAAACACAAACACAACCCACAACACACTCAACTTTGGTCCAATTGGCGGCTTAGATTGATCATTTGCTATTCTATTCTTTTTTGCCCCCCTTTCTATAAGCATATGATATGTTTTGGTTTCTTCAGCGTCCTTTGTTGTGTCACACAACCGCACAACAACACACACGCACAAAATCACGCGTTTTCGCGCGCGCGCGCGGAAGCCTCCCGAACTTGAGCTCCGAAAACTGCCAGGGTCATCTCGGAGCTCGCGAAGTCTGCCAAGTCCAAGAAGAAGCCCAACCCGCCGTTCCGAGAGTCCAAGCTCACCTACATCCTGAAGGAGCCGTTGCGGTCCCCCAGCAATTGGTGCCCTTTTTAACCAACTTTTTTGGTTGGGAGGCTTCCCCTACTAAGATAGACTACAGAAGAAAAGGGTACCTTTATTGTAGCCTCTCTACTGAAGGACATAGGAGCTGTTGCTAAGTCCAACAATCATACTTCTGGGGCCAAATTGAGTTGGTGAATGGGTCAAAGAGTTGGGTAGTTTGGACAGCACGAATTCTGGGCAAGGTGTGCGCTCTCTTTTTGTTTGATGTTGAACGGATCTTCTGCGTGAACTTGCTTGCAAGTGCTTGACAGGGCGGAATTCTCATGATGTCTTCGCATACCTAGCAGACCTAGCACCTGGGGATTGGCCCAGAATGGTCCATGATTGCACATGTCCGCGTGTGTGACTGTCTCATGTTCATTTGGCGTCACCTGATACCCAGCCCCTCGCCAAAGGGTGGTATTGACCTGCGCTTGTGCAGGATGTACAGCTTTTGAGCCGGCCACAGGGGTTCAAAGAGATGTTGCGTCCGTTGTTTGGGCACGCATGAAAAGGATACACTCCTGGTTGAGACTGTGGCAAGCGGCGCCTAGCGGGTACTTGTGCGGACAAGCTAGTTGTTGCTAAGCTTATATCCCGCTCAGAAGGCCCTCCAAGTGGAGTGAAGCCTATTCGCACAAGTTAGAAGGTTGGTAAGCTAGGTCAAGCTATATCCGCCCTCCAAGTGGAATCGAGCCTACTCGCACAAGTCAAGTCGCTGGTTGTAAGCCCCCGGCAGAACCCCCCAGAGCAAAGCAGAATCAGTCGACAGTGTCCTAGAATTCGAAAGACACGCGAAACAAATTTTGGGCATGCTTACAACGCATAAACCCCGAATGAAGGAATCCCCAAGTCAACCTATCCCATCAACCCACTCATAAGCTCCCAGACTAAAAAGCCGGCCGACCACTTTTTCTAGGGGTTGATTCCCCATTCTGTTCAACCATCGTTCTTTTGCAAAACCGATCGCTGTTTCTGGGGTTCTGATGATTTTCTGGAAAGAAAAATGGATCCCTGGGTTCAGAATGGACATGGAAGCGTCCCCTAGAGTTTAGCCTTTCTTTGAGTCAACCAGAAAAACCACGTGGCCTTGTTCTCGTTTTTCCAAAAAAAAACACACACCAAAAAAAAACCGGGGGATCCTTGTGCGTGCGTGTGCCTGTGCCTGTGTGTGTGTCTGTGCTTGTGTGTCTGTGCTTGTGTGTCTGTGTGTCTGTGTGTCTGTGTCTGTGTGTGTAGAGGTTCAAACCACAGGAGTCCTTGTGCGGCAACTCCAAAACTGTGATGATGGCAGCCATCTCTCCGAACTTCCTGGACTACGACGCTTGGACCGCAAGTTGGACGCAAGTTGCCCGAAGCCCCAGCTGGCTTTGTCGTTTGTTCATTTTTCAGTTGTTTTGCCTTCTTTCTTTTTTTTTTGTGTGTGTGTGTGTGCGTGTGCTTTTGGGTTGCTGGCTATTTTTGTTTCTTTTTGTGTGTGTGTGCTTTTTGCGGTGGGTTTTCGGGTGGCTCAGGGCTCCTTAGCTTTGCTGGGTTCTTTTGGGCTCTGCGGTTGTTGCTTTGTTTGAAGGGATCCTGAGGCTTCTCTTGCGACCAAGTGCTTTGATTGTCGCCTGAAGGTTTCATGTTGCTCCCCCAACGCGTTGGCTCGTGGTTCGCGGCAGCAAGTTGAGCCCGAGAAGATCTGCGATAGCCATGCGCCGAGTGATGTGATCGAAGGGGGAGCTGGCTCTCGTTTTTCCTTTGGATGAATGTTCTTAACCAGAGGCGCCTTGACCCAAGAGGACGCAGTGTGCCAACAGGCTCTTATTCTTTAGGCAGAAACTCGCATCCCAACTTCAGCCATGAGATGTTTGTTTCTTTCAGTGATTCAATGTTGGTGGCGTCTTTTGGCCGCCAAATGGTCCTCCCCTTGAGCGCGGCTTCAGCTGCCAGACAGAAGTCAACCTCATGGTCAGTGGATAGGCTTGTAATTCTTTGGTTCAGTCGGCGCTTGGAGGGCGCTGGAGGTTCACGTTAAGATGCTAAAAGGAGTGAATTCGATCTTCGAGTTGACCGCAGCTCTGCCTGACGCAAGGGAGCGAATCCATTTTCGATCGTGTCTCACAATAAGTAGCCTCCAAATGATCGGCTCGGACTGTTGTGGATGACCCTTAAACAAGTGCCAGCCAGAACTGGTGAAATGTGTGTCGAGACATGCCATGTTGAAGAGCCGTTGTATTTGAGACTTGTTGTTTGGTCCAGGAAATGTTGGAGATGCTTTCCTGAAGATTAACCTGCGAGAAGGAGATTCCTCCACAAGTGCTGAGGGTAAACTTTGTGTGTGTGCCTTACACGTGGGTTCTCCAAAACTAGCTTATTTGTTGGAGAATGACCAATTTGTACACTTCCATTTGGTTAAGAGCATTTTGTATTTTCCCCTGTTGGTTTTAAAGGGAATCTATCACTACTGGATTTTGTTTTAAGTCTTTTCCAGGGGACTTAAGCAAATGACGGTATACAAGAAACACTTCTTTTTTTTTTAAAGAAAATAAGTCAAAATAAACAATAACACAATAAAAATAAATCGCTGAATGCCTCCTGCCGATCGAGGACGAGACGCTGTCGACCCTCAAGTTTGCCCAGTCCGTGAAGCAAGTGCAGACCAAGGCGCAAGAGACTCCCCGTGCGAACTTTTTCGTCAGTCGCAAGCGCGGGGTGGCTGCGTTTCTGTGTGTTTTGAGGGTGCCATATGTGGTTGTCAAAACCGTTTTGGGATCCCATTTTGGGGGTTTCGGTGCACCTCCCACTCTCACTTTAGTCGATTTTTGTGGTTGGATTGGGTGCCCATATGGCTGTGGTTGTCAAAACCGTTTTGGGATCGTATTTTGGGGGTTTCGGTGCACCTCACACTCTCACTTTAGTCAATTTTTGTGGTTGGATTGGGTGCCCATATGGCTGTGGTTGTCAAAACCGTTTTGGGATCGTATTTTGGGGGTTTCGGTGAGTTCACCTCCCATTTTAGAACCGATTTTAGTGGTTGGATTGGGTGTTCACTGGGGGTACGGGCTTTTGACCCATGTCCATATGTTGATGGTTTTAATGGGAAACCGAAAGAAACACCGGCATATATATATACATATATTTTTTTGTGGGGGGGGTGCCCTCAACAAGAGACACCCAGAGTGCGACGCAACTCTTCAGTTTTCGATTCAATGGTGTGATCTTGGAGGTCCATCGGTGGGCATGGCCAGCTAGCGGCGACGCCAGATCGAGTTGTAGGATGTGTTTGCTTTGCATGCGTGCATGGCGCCGGATCGCCACAATGGGAACTTTGAATAGACCGAGCGAAACAAGGGGAGTCCTTGCTTATGACATCCGATGAACTCAGGTTGTTGATGACTGCCAAGCTCCACCAACGGGATGCAGTCGCATTTCGCGCCTGCCAAGGCATACAAGTTTTTTGCCAGGACTCTTGGAGTCCAGAGAACTATTTGACGGGTGTGTGGACACCACCGAAACCTCAGTCAGGATCAGCGACCTAGGCCGCTGCTCCCACAAATATTGTACCATCAGCGTATTGCGTGTAGGCGCGTGCGTGCGTGCATGCGTGGTCTGCCGAGTTGTAGTGGTGAACTATGCATATGTCAGAAAGGTGACCCTTTTGGGCCAACCCATGAAGGATGTTGACATGCAGCATCATGCAACTGAACATTTTACTCAGGTCCCTATAATGTCCTAGTTTCGACAACCTTGTTTGGCCAGTTTTTTTGTCAGGGCACTTGGGGTTGGCTCACAACTTGACGCTTGGTGATTCCTGCCATTCGGCAAATAGGGGAAGGGGGCGTCAAACGTTGCTCACTTGGCACCCGTCATTGTGTGCCGAAGAAAATCCTCACTATCAGCCCTGGCATACTGGGGCACCAAGGAAGCATCTCCATTTGGTTGGAGCTTTTAACCATTCGGATTTCGGAGCTGAACATTTGACCGACTCTTTCAATCAACGAACGCCGGTTTGGGCAAACGTTGCCATTGTTTCCAATGATCCAGATTTCACTTGGGTCCAGGCCAAGCCGTAAGGGGTGCGACATCCGGGCAGTTTTTCCCGGCGATCGCGCCAGGCAGTGCAGAATGCTTCCTGGCTGGTTTGGCATTCGCGAAATCTGGGCCTTGAACTGCATGAGTCTGATGAGTGGCAGAATCCCAATTTTCTGAACAGCTCATGTTTTCTAAGTGTGCAACCACCCCGAATCCGTTTGAAGTGTCTACAGATCTGAAGTGGGGCCAAACTTTTTTTTTACGCAAGGAGTAAACCTCTGGTGCGCGTCGGTGCAGGAATGAAGTGGTGCTTGCAAGGCAACACCTGCCCAAAAGCGTCTTGAATCGTTGTTCATCTCAAGCTTTTCCAAATTGAGGTGACGGTGTACAGGACCCTGCCTGTCCTGCCTGTTTGTCCTGCGTTCCGTTTGCGTTCGAGGAAATCGTTGAGCTGGGTTTGGTATGACTGATGAAGGACATGTTGGCTCGGTAGTCGTTGTGTTGCTGCTTAGATCCATTCTAATCGGATTGGCTGTTCACCTTTACCCATCAAGCATTGAGTCTTTCGCAAGCATGCAGCATTTCCAGGCCCCTGCATGGCCAGGTTCAAGTTGTCTTTCTTGGTGATTTCGCTTTGTGCGTCAAGCTATTCTCTCCATGGCTAGCTGTGAGTTTGGGTGCCAAATGGCACCAGAACACAGGCTGCGCTTACAACATGCTTGTTTGGCCCAGTGGTTTCTAGACCCCAGTTTCCTAGGGGTCTTCCTCTCCCGCACAAGAACCATCCAACTGGCAATCCATAGCAAGTAATGTAGCCCCTCCCTTCGCCAAAAAGGTTTCGTCGGCAGCCTCGAATCTTTCACATAAAGTGCATACATATACATGTTATCTATTTCTATACATATATCTTTCTTATCTTTACAGACACATAGATGCATTCTTGGCGGTTCCCAACCATCCCCCTAGCCTTTTGGATTTTTTTTTGGGGTTTGGAGGTTGGGTTTCCATTCAACCCACAATTTAAACTTTCAGCTGGGGATCTGAAAACGGACAGCCGAGATATTGTATCCTGCACCACTTTGAAGCCCTGAGAAACTCTTTGCTTTTGGTAGGGGGAGTCAAACAGTTCCAGGTGTCTTAGCATGTCGCGTCAAAACAAAATCCCACCGTTTCGCTCTTGGGAGGACGGAGGGATCCGCCGTTTCGAGGCGGTGAACATGTCCAGCGTGGAGGCCCAGCTGCGCGCGGAGCTGAACGCGCTGAAGGCGCAGCTCCAAAGCTTCCAGGCCGCGCGAGATGGGATCCGAGGAAGCCGAGCGGGATTTGTTGTGAAGGGACCCGAAAGTTCAACGGATTCCCATTGAAAGAATGGCCTTGGGGCCCGATTTGGATGAAAGTCTTGAAGTAAACAATGGTTCTCTGAACCCCTGGTGCGAGAAGTAGGGACTGAGGGAATGAGCCTCGAGATTCCCCGAAAAGCAAAGGAAACTCTAGGGGACTGGTTTTTCTTGGGGTCATTCCCTGATTCCCTGCTGAGCACTCGCAAGTTTTGGTGGGCAGTGTTCTTGTTGTTGGGTTTGTCAGGCTACCCCCAGTTTGATGTAGTTTGGATTGGTGGCTTAGGGAGGTCTTATAGAGGGTAAATTGGAAGCTACTGTTAACCACCAAACCACCAATCCACTTGGAGGAAAGCTGCCCTTTTGAGGTGGCAAGACGGGACACCCACTTGAAGGTGTTTTTTTTTCTAGGGGGAGTGTTGCATACCGACGTGGGAGCAAGATGGTCATGATGCTTTGCCGCCGGCGCCATGTTTGCGAAAGGCTTCCACGAACCTTCCAACTTCTGAGCATACCCCGGGCCCCTATCAAGAGGAATCTTCATGGGAGGGTTGGGATATGCTCAAGCGGTTGGGTACTAGATTCGTTTGCCTTTGTGTTAGCTTTGAGCGGTGTTTCCAGTTAGATCTTGTGGTTGGTTGGACTAGCTGCTCTGGATGAATATTGATCTGATTTTGTTGGCGTAGTTTGTTGCTGGGTTGGTGATTGTTCGGTGATGCTAGTTTGGTTGGTTGTTTTTGTCCACATTTGCTCGCGTGTTTGCTTGCTGGGGATGTGACGGATGTGTGGCCTATACTCACTTCGTTTGGTTGTGTCATGCTTGTGTTTCTGTGTTCTTGCCTGCGCCGTTGTTCGCTTTGCCGCTTGACTGTGTGTGAGTGTTTGTGCTTTGGTTAGTTTAATGCCGTGGTTGCAGCGGAACTACATATGTCTCAAACTAGTTGGGCCCCAGTATATTGGACTTGAAAGGGACACCAAAAGGAAAGCACCCTTTTCCCTTTTTGGGGGTGGTGACACTAAGAGGCCCGGGTCATGTGCCAGCCTGCCAGCACTGTTTGTTTTGAAGGTCGGATGAAAGTCCTTTGATTCGTTGCCCTTCAGGAAGAAAGACTCCTTGATGTGGTGTGATGCTTCCCAACATTCGGACCCGAAGCTTTCAGCACTTGAGTCCGCACGCGTAGGACCAATCTGGTGGATCACCGGCGGGCATGTCTGAAGAGGAGAGCGTCTACTTGAAGAGGCCGGGCATGAGACTGCCGTATGCCATGCAATGATTGAGAGTCCCTTGTGGGTATTCAGCTTTATTCAAAATGTCAAGTGTTTGACGATCAAGGCAATACCCAAGCTTGGTGACAAACTCCCGGGTGATTGCCGCTACTATCCCTGCAACACGGTAGTTTGTGTTCGAAGCCCTGCACCAACTCTCCCTTGTTCCTTCTTGCTTTGCTGCTAGAGCAACGCTTCGTCTACCCTTCTCCGGCGAGGGAATTTCTTAGGGAGCCCTGTTTCAGGTAACCCCGAGTGGGTGGTTTGGATTGGTTGTTTGCGGGCATTGGAACAGGGAACCCCTGGTTCTTGTAGAGCGTAAATTGGAAACCCCTTAACCAAGCCACCGGGCTCCAAACCACCAATTATTTTTGAGGGAGACTGACTAGTTTGGGGTTGAACATTCACTTGCGCAGAATGACGTTTGTCTTTTTCCTTGAGCTTCATGTTCTGGGCAAGGTTCAATCGGAGCAGTCAACTAGGCGATGCTCAGAATGAATTCTGATTCCTTTTGCCACATAGTGGTTTCCCTTGTGGTGTGCTATATCAGTCTCCGGGACCGCACCTCACCCCACAAGGACACCCATGTGAACAGCGGCCCTGGGTGAGTGTAGATCAACAGTGGCTACTCTAAACGAAACCCGGGTAAACGGAAACAAGGACTAAACCTACCGTGCCGTCCCCTGGTGGTATTTTTTTGACCCATACCCAGGCGAGGTTTAAAACCTCCTTAAAGAAGGACATCTAGGGACCCCTCTTGGTCTGTCCAACCCCAGCCGCACGGCATCGGTCCCATCAGGCGAGTAGAGGAGCAGGAGCAGCTCTGTGCGCTGCACGGCACCGCGCCACGTTGGCACGTCGATCGGGGCCGTTTGGGGAGGGTTTGGCGGTTTGGGCGGGTTTGGTGTGGGTTTTTGGGGCGGGTGTTGTGTGTCTCGGTTTTTCGGGGGATTTCCCAAAATTGTGGTTTTCCTGGTGGTTTTCCATTTAAAGCTTCCCAAATTGTGGTACCCACCCACCGACGATTCGATGGTTTGGTGCACAGACCTCTGCAAAAACACCTACTTGTTTCCGGGAAAGGGGTTTGTCCACTTCCATGTTAGTTGGTGCGAGGGTAAGTCTTGTTGTTTTGGGACTTGCCAAGATGGTGGTGTTCCTTAGTTGTGTTTCTTGTTAACCACCAAACTTGGCGCAGAAAGGGGAGAAAAGCAAAGGCACGCCCACACGCAAACAAAAATACAGTAGTTTCGAGATCCTCCAATGGAAGTCCCCTTTGCAGGTATGATCTAACTTTACGCAGAGCCGACCTTGTGACCTTCATTTAATTTATGGTCTATGTTTAGTCTTGGCAACATGAAGTTGTGGTTCCTTTGCTTGCAAGCGACTTGTTTGAACCATCCAAAGGCGGTGCCTCCAACGAGCCATCCTCGAAGGGTAAGCAGCCGTGTGCTACGCGCAATTCAGCCAGGAAAGCGGGTGTCTGTATATACGCTTGTGCCATTTTTACGTTGGACCTGTGGGAAGTTCTGGAGAGACAGTCCTTCACTCCCACTTTTTGTGGCTCCTGGCGCACGCTTTTCCTCGCTCCCGATATTTCCCTTGCGCTGTGGTAGACGTCAACTTCTAGAAGAGTATCCTTCACCCCCTCAACAATAGAGCTGGGTTGTTTGAATCCGGGGTCAACATTACCACCACTCCGCTTCGATCTGAGGACTGGCCGGGGCTGTTGGCGCTGGAGCAAAGCCGCGCCTGGGATCCAACTACTCAAAGGCCTTATGCCCAGCCTAGGAAACCAGCAGAAAAGGAGGCCCGCTTTTGGGGGAAACTGAACAATTTTGGTATGAAGGTCCAACCTGCAAGAGGTCATTGGCTTCCCAAGGGTCCACTTGCGGCTTTCCGAGGGAAATGGACAGATGGCATTGCCAAGAGGTACCTGGACCAAACGGGGGGGGCCAGGGGATTTGTCACGTGCGATGCGAGTCGCTCGCCGCTCGAGCCACCCAGGCATGCAACGACGCATCTTGACCGCAGAGAGCCGGATGCGAATTGCCAGGTGTGCAGGCTGTGCCAAAAACACCAGTTCTCGTAACGAATTGCCCGGAACGACCCGTGGTCTCAACCTAGGGCGCGTAGAGAAAGCTTTGCCAAGCCCACAAGCAGTGGGACCTCGAAGCGCGGTGGGGATGGCGTGTGAAGCCAAGATGCGCCAATGAGGCCCTACTCCCGAGGCTCCGTTCAAAACTGGCAGCTGAGCAAGTGCCCAGTGACGCTTTTGATTTGCCAAAGACAGGGGTGGTCAAAATTTAGCTGTTCAGTTGGTGGGTTTGTGTTTGGTTTCCCTGGAAAACCAGCATCCAAGGGACCCAAATTTTGAGAAGCACCTACAGGCATTGGTGTCCTGTTTGGTTATTTTGGAAAAGACAGATGGCCCTGGTTGACCTGGTTGTTTCATAATCTACCAGGAAGATCCATCTATGTTCAACCAAAAGGACACCTATGCCCGACATGTCCTCTAGTTCACTGTCAAAGTCTGATTCTAAGCATAGGCGTCCTTTTGGGTTGATTTGGTTGAAACATAGAGGGCCCTGTTTTTGTTTCCTCTTTTTTTCTGGTGGTTCAATCAACTACCAGGGAAGTCCATCGATGTTCAACCAAAAAGGACACCTATGTAAACAATATTTTTTATTAACCCCCATTGTTTTTCATGGTGGTTTGAACCCCAGGGCACCTAAAAGGACACCTATACTAAGCCACGTACCCCCGGCTGCGTTCCCCGCCCAGGCACAGCGATGCCATCGGCTCAGGATCTCGCCAAGCTGCAGGCAATGGAGGAGCGCTGGGGCGGGTCCCTGAACGCGGCCAGGGGGTCTGTCTGTTTTTTTGGAGTTGGTACCCTTTTCTGGTAGGTCTTAAAGGGAAACCAAAAAAACAAGAATCACCATATGTTGTGTTGGAATCTGAAAAATGACACCCAATCTGGAAACCCAAAAAACAAGGAGAATTGCCATATTTGTGTGAGGGGGGAATGAAAAATGACCCAATCTGGTCACTCTTACCTGGTTAGTTGGACAGCTATACTGACCTGGTTCTACTTGGGTCTCTCAAAGTGAACATTTTGAGAGGATGCTTGCCTGAAGATGAACCTGCAACCACAAAACTAGGGTCGCTCAAAGGTTCCTCCAAAACTGAGGCGGATATATTTTGCATGGGTCCCTGAAAAGTGGTTCCTCTTTGAGGGATTCCCGAAACAACTCCTTGGAGTAGTTTCCGCTTAAGCCACCATTTAGGGAGTTGCTGTTTGTTTGTTTTTGTGTTTGTGTGCTATTTTTTTGCGGGGGGTGACCCCTGCAGGAGATCGCCAATCATATTTCCATCAGCTTTCCGCAGGGAAGACTAGAATCAATGGAGAACCTTGTGAATCTTGTTGCTTAATTGCAATTGGTCATGACAGGAGCCCCAAAAAGAGGTTCCCTTTGAATTCCCACAAGAAAAGAACTGGGTACCCTCCAAAAATGACATTGAGACAGACAGATTCAGATGGGCGATGGGTGTGTGCTTTTTGAATGAACCCTTGTTGCGCCTATTTGGAGGGACATGGAGCTCCAATTTGGGACTTAATGTTCAATCTTGAGACGAAGCTGAAGCTTAAGAAATGTAGTTTGACCAGACCGGCCGCTTGCACATTCCAAGTGTCTTAGTGCGACACATTACGAGAAGCTGGCGGAATCGAAGCCGAGAAGAAAGCGGGTAGACTTGGCCCAGTACTTGGCCCAGTGCAAGAAATTTGGTCACGTGGCTCGGGCAAAATGTTTGACTTCGCGGAACGGATCAGTCTGCACCATGAACATGTGATTCTGCTGTTTGGAGGATTGTCTTTTTGCTAGGTCCCCCAGTGGTGCGCTTTTACACTTTTTTTGGGAGGGTTCCCCTACTAAAATAGACTACAGGGAAAAGGGTACGCTTTTTCTAACCTCTCTACTGGAGGACCTAGTTTGTAAGGGTAACAAAAAGATACACCCTTTGTCTTTCTGACAAACTCCTCGGCCTTTTGCAACTCTTCCGGGCGAAAAGCGAGCGCCAGGAAAGAAGTGGAGATGAGGCGACCTGGCACAGCTATTCGACGGCGACCCTATCGCCAAAAGAAAAAAAACGCAGCGCAGAAGACAAACTGTCGCTGAGAAGGGCTCTTCCTTCCTATGCCATCCTGGTTGATTCCGCGAATAGGCGAATTGAGTCTGGTTTCACAAGGTCCTTCATATAAGCCAGCCCTGTTCCCCGGGTGGCTTCAAGATGAACAGGGTTTCTAAAGCGCTCGATGGGCTTGGCACGAGATATCGCTGGAGATCCCACATCACATGCTTTGAGAGGTGGGGAGTCTTGTTTGGACGCCACTGACAGGAGCTGGCTGGCTGGCTTAATATGTCTCATATGGCTGTGGCTCAAAACGAGGTACCATAACCTTGGTAAATGGAAACAACGACTAAAACCTGCGTAACCCTAGCTTTTTAATTTTGAGCCACACCCATACGTTGGCTTGTTTGTAATATACGAGGCCGCCTTTGTTGGTTATAAAATGGATTATCAGCCTCCTAAGTGGGGTTTGCCCGAGTTCGTGAACCCAGATGTAACCAAACAGAGGCGTCCATATAGTTTACTCCCAGCGGCATGGCGGTCTGTCTAAAGTTTGTTCATTCACAGACAATGTCGACCCCGTATGAATGATCCCAGTTTATTAGTTAGGTGTTTTCCCCCTCCAAAAGTGATGATTCCCCACTCAATTCAGGAACACCCCCCTATTAGGAAACAGGGGTTGCTTAATGTGGGGTCAGCATTAGACGCGGCAGCCTTTTCGTGATCCGCGGGATGCCAGCAGCGCTTGGGTTACGAAGTGCTGAGCTAGGCTGGCTGCCTTCTTTTCTCCCGCGTTTTTCATGCCAGGCTATGGTTTGCAATCTGGTTGGTATGTGTTTCCATGACTTTTTGCCGTGGTTGCACTCGCAAATCACGGAGGAGAACGACGACGAGGATGACGATACCTTCACTTGCTCCTTGCTCCTTGGTTGCAGCTCCTTGTATGGGTGCAGTTGACACAGATCCGAGGGCCGTAAACCGAAGGCACACGCCAAAAACCGAGAGATGCTGGCCGGGCAAAGGCAGGGGTCCCCGTTTTCATGGATGGATTGGTCCATTCGGACCGCTGTTTGGTTCTTCTGTTTCACCCAAGCTGGACATGTTCCCTTGACTTAACCCATACTCATATACAGGCTATAAGCACTATTCCAGATACGTACTCCAGGTATGGATATTTGGAAGAAGAATCCCCCGGTATTGACGATGGCAACTGGCTAACTGCCTAGCGGGCTGGACATCGAGCTCTAACTCAGAAACTTGGTGGTTTGGGGCTTGAACCTCTGATGCTTGTAGAGTGTAAATAGGAAATCACCCACACGAAACACCCATTCGGGTTGAATCAAAGGGCAACCACAAGTTACTACTTGCTAGACGCGCCCTGCAAGCTGGGCTTAGGGAAGCGTAGCTGAGGGGATCCCCTTGGTCGTTTGATGCATGCGCCCCTTTTCCAGGGTCTGACTTTGACAGGTTTTCTTCGACGGTTTTTTTTCGTCGGACAGCAGCAGTTGCTTAGATGCTCTGGAACTTGGCTAAATGGTTAATAATCCTGGGTTTCTCGGGGACTTACACCATGGTAGATGGGTACTTGGGCAAAGCTAACCACTTAGTGATTCCTCCAAGACCATCTAACAAATCTTCACCCCATTTTAATCAACCCCTGCTTATTCATATGGGGGTGTCCCTGCTTTCGGCCGGGATTCATCACTTTTGAAGGGGAAGACCCCCATACTAACAAACTGGGGTTGATTTTTCCTGGGGTCAACATGAAAGGGGACCGTGGTAACCATGGTAAATGAGTCACAACTAGGGCGGGGGCTTACAACCATGGTACATGGGTTACATGGCTTACAACTAGGGCAAAGCAAACCACTTAGCGATTCCTCCAAGACCATCTAACTAATCTTCACCCCATATTAATCAACCCCTGCTTGTTCATATGGGGGTGTCCCTGGTTTCGGTGGGGTTAAATCACTTTTGGAGGGGAACACCCCCAGATTAATAAGCCGGGGTCGTTTTTTTTTCTTTTTTTTCCGGAGTCACCATGGTAACCGTGGAAAATGGGTTACAACTAGGGCAAAGCTATCCAGGGGGGTTTTTGGTGGTTTTCTAGAGAGAAGGATCTCTGGAAATGGAAATGGAAGTTGCCCCTAGAAAGGAGCGGTCTCCGCATGCAGCAAAGCTGAGCCTCCGGGTTTCTCTCCCAGGCTGGAGCTGGGCCGCTCGCAAGAAGGAAACCCGCCCGAGGGGTGCCTTGGCGCGCCAGGTCCGATTTTCATTACCGGATCGAAGGGGAAAAGCAAGGATGACATCTATGACAGCAACAGTATTGGAGAACTTTTAATGTGATTTTTACAGCATTTGCTTGCTGGTGTTTTTTCTCCTAAAATTGACAGTACTATGATATATTCTAGAGATTGCGACTATTTTCTTTTACTAGAGACTTGTGAATCTGATGGCAGGTTTGAACAAATAAACGCTGATATCGCTGTTATCGTTAATATAGATGGTGATCATGTTCATTTTCATTGAACCAACACAAATACATAATGTAATGTAGACAATAGCAATTTAAATACCTTATTAAAAAAGATAGAGTTAGAAAACAAGAGCCTCCCCATAAACAGCCGATGTCCAGGTTCCCCAAAACTTGGTTTTGGCCCGGGGGGTTGTCCATGTTTCCGGTGTGGTCAGCAAGTTTGGGTTTGTCTGCAAATGAGGAAAGCCTCCAAAAAGGGGGGTGTCAATTTTCGCTTTCCTTTGCGACAGCCAGGAAGAGAAATACCGGTCCGCCTATTTGGGGTTTAGGAGAGGAGAGGTGGTCACGACTTATTGGAGAGGGACTTCCAGCAAGCATTGCGAGTGCCCCCTTTCGAGGAATAAGGACCTTGACTTACACTGGGAGGTTCGACCATACATGACTGCTTGTGGTATGATTTCATATAAGGGTGGAACTCTGGATGCCATGAGTGAAACTGAGTGGAAGGCTGGTATTCTCAAGGAGGCTGAGGCAACGCTGATTCTGTTCTTCGATGTTCGATACACATGACGACATGTTGAACCATTTAATATCAATTCTGGATCCAGTTGTGTATCCTTCGGGCAGAGATCAGCGATGGTTGCAATTGAAGTTGTGTATGCACACATTGTTGCTTGAACGGGAAATGTTTTGTGTGTTGCTCACACTTGTGCGGACAATGATGTTACTGCTTGAGAACACGCGTGATCTGTGCTGGTTTTCTGCCATGCTACTCCTTCACTGCCGCAAGCGTGGCAGATTCCAGAACGTAGGGAGTCGAGGTTTGAGAGGCAAAAGGTGCGGAGGGCTAAACTTGTTTGGATGGATGCATGGTAAGTTGATGCCGCCACACCTGCCATGATACCTGCCATGTTTGACTTTCACTTGGTTTGTGGTCCACAAACTGGTTCCAGAGTGCAACCGACAACCATTATTCAATGTGTGTAGCATCCTAGAACCCGTTTGATAGAAACCACTTGGCCGCCCAATGTGCAAGCCTGTGCGAGCGTGTGTGCGTGCGTGGGAGCACGGGTGTGAGTGTGCGTGTGTGTATGTGTCTGTGGGGGCTACACGTAGGCATAAATCTCCATGGATTCCAGTTGCCAATGAAAAATATAACTCTGGTGTATGGTTTTGAATTTGCTTGTGCGCGGTTGTGAAGCACCCCCGAAGCATACCCCTTAAAAACGTATGCCGCAAGCTGCTTTTCTTCTACCTTTTGTTTTTCTTACTGCTGCACAACCACCACCAGCGATACCAGCGATACCTACTGCTAATACTGCTGCTGCTGCTGCTGCTGCTGCTATACTTCTACGACAGCTACTACTACTACTACTACTACTACTACTACTACTGCTACCACTACTACCACTAGTACTACTAGTACTACTACTACTACTACTACTACTACTACTACTACTACTACTACTTCTACTATTACAACAACAACAACAGCAACAACATCAACAACAACAACAACAACAACAACAACAACAACAACAACAACAACAACAACAACAACAACAACAACAACAACAACAACAACAACAACAACAACAACAACAACAACAACAACAACAACAACAACAACAACAACAACAACAACAACAACAACAACAACAACAACAACAACAACAACAACAACAACAACAACAACAACAACAACAACAACAACAACAACAACAACAACAACAACAACAACAACAACAACAACAACAACAACAACAACAACAACAACAACAACAACTACTACTACTACTACTACTACTACTACTACTACTACTACTAGTAGTACTACGGCTGCTGCTAATGTTACTGCTACTGCTACTGCTACTGCTACTACTACTACTACTACAACTACTACGGCTGCTGCTACTGCTACTGCTACTGCTACTGCTACTGCTACTACTTCTACGACTGCTGCTATTACTACTGCTCCGTCCTTCATTTCTCTCCATTTACCTTCATGCCCCCTACATGCCCCTTCATTTCCCCTTCATTTCCCCTCATTTCCCTTCTTCATTTCCCCTTCATCTCCCGGTTGTTTCCAACTCATTCCCTTGTCATTTCCGCTTCATGTCCTCTTCAGTTTTGATTATTTTCCCATGCATGTCCCATTCATTTCGCCTGAGTGTCCCTTTCGTTTCCCTTCATTTGGCGTTTCCTCTCATTGCTTTTCATTGCCCTTTCATTCGCCCTTTGTGTGCTGGGGGGACGGGGGGGGTCCTCTATCCTCTCTTAGGTGCTCCTCGTACCACTACTATCGCAACTACTACTGCAATAGCCACAGCGAATCATTCACCTGGAGCATACCCGAGTCATACCTGCGAATCACACCCAGCGCGTATACAAGAATGCTTGCACAAATTTAGGGGCGTGTCAACTCAGTCAAGGGAAGCGATTGCGTGCCTTTGATGCGACCCAACTTCATGATTCCCCTTTACCAAGCCGGGGAGCAGCTAAGAAGGTTGAGGGCGGCGTGACTGTCAGTGACCTGACTCTAAGCAATTCTTAGTTTTTTGGATATTCAGGGCCAGGCGGAAAAAAAAAACGGTCTTTCGTCAAAAAACAGTCTAGCAACCTTGGCCTTTGGAAGCCTAGGGTTCGCACGCAAACAACACACACACACCCTGCCAGCTTGCACAGCGCAAAATACATTTATTTGGAACTCGCGCCACAGATTACACGAAGCCCAACTTATCATGACCAATGCTTGTTGATTAGTTATTGTATCAACACAACACCTACACATGCATACGGATTTATTTATTAATGTATATGCACACACCTGAACATGTGACAGTCTCGTGATGGGTTGCTATTTTTGGGGTAGGCGCATTGACTGGCCCGCATAAGGCGGTCCTCCCTGCGAGCTCCCATCCGCAACTCGGCGATAGCGAGAGAAGCCGACCTTCTGAGCATACCCCCGACCCCAATGTGGGGGTTGATCAAAAGGCCCTTTACATGGGATGACCATCACAGAGGTGCATTTTGCTTGGATGTTAGGACTTTAACTTTTTGCCAACTAATGGGTTTTCCATTAAACCACTAGAAGTTAAACTTTTAGCAGGGAGAAGAAAGCCACCGACATCAGGGAAACCACAAACAAAGATGATTTTCACCACTAAAAATACCTGTGCTTATTTTGGGCCCAGGAACATTGATCAACCCTCAGATGGTGGGATATTTTGTCATGGAAGGGTAGGTTCGAGCCTTGGAATGCCACGAGGCGGGAACTCTTTCAGGACCGTTTTGGAAGCAGATCAGGAAAATCCAATTCTCGGCGTTTCTGTTTTTGAAACTGGTGAGTTTTATGGTGGTTCCTCTCTGAAGTGGCCCCAAAAGAGTACCCCGTTGTGGAAGACAGCCACTTGGTTGTGCATGACTTTTGTGAAGAACGATTGCAAGTCTAACTGTCCAGTCCTCGCGGCTGGCCAACTCGAGCTCGTGCGTGGTATGTTTCATACTGTGGGTGGACGAAATCCTGCACTACCTAAGAAACCCTGAAAGGATGATGCCACAGTAAATATTTATATAATGGTTTCCCATGGATTCAAAGTGGTGCGAACGGACTTTGTCCATCCACAGTAGGTTTGCCTCATGCGTGGTGAGCTATTTCGTTTGGGGATAACAAGTTCTCCCATGTGGGCACCTTCATGTTAGTTTCTTCCGGATGAACGACTCATGCATGTGGTTGCAGAAGGGATGGCGCGAATCACGGGCACACGATGAAGCAGGTGAGCCGTCCTGCGGAATTTCACAAGAGATGCAGGACTTTTCAGCGCCCCAGAAGTCCCTTCGGTGAAGGGTAAGGCACAAATTGTTTGTCATAGGCAACCAGACCATGGCTACATTCACGGGGGGAAGCCAAATCTCTCTTTTTGAGGAGTTGCCACGAGGGTGGTTAAACATGTTGGGACAGGTTGCCCCACCAGTTGAGAGCAAGCCCCACCTGCGCCAACAAACGAAAACAAAATCGGCGACATTCTGCGACATCGACATAAGAATCGGGGTGCCAGTTTTACAGCGCTCAGAGACGAGCCTCGTTCAGCTTTGGTTTCAAACGAAACACCCCAAACGCGACCCTGCAGGCCTTTGGCTGATCCTCGGATTGAAACCAAGGGAACATCGAGGCCATCGGGCCTGAACGACCAAGATCGAGTGTTGAACAACCAGGTCTCTTGGAAGGCACAGGTCAAGACTAGGTCCAGTAGTGCCCTTTCTCTTCCCTTTTTTGGGGGAGGGTTCCCCTACTAAAATAGACTACAAAAAAACTATGGTACCCTTATTCTTACCTCTCTCCTGGAGGACCTAAAAGAGGCAGCCATCCCGGCCAAGTGACCTCAGCTTCACGCAAAGGCAGCCAGTTGCAGATCGGCGGGCCGCTGGCAAGGGAGCTGAGCGCCAACGGGGACCAGCGTGGTAAGGCGGAGCAGCTGAAGAGGCGTCGCGTCAGTCACTTCGCTTGGTTTTTGGCCGGCTGGGTTGGGGTCGGTCAGCCAGGAGTCGGCACCATGTTTAGTTCCTTGTAGGGAGGCCAAAAAGAAACCCGAGGCCATTTTTTGTTTGATTTCTTGGGAGCCCTTGGCTTGTCCGGTTAGTACGGATGATCATCATAGACAACCAGGGAGCAGCACTCCCTACAGAGTTTGACCGTGGCACATATGGGTGGGACTTTGTCTGGATCGGGAACCCCTTTTTGTTGGTCTGATTTCATGGGAGGGAAGCCAAAAGGAAGCTAACCAGACTCACTTTGCCCCAGTTTCAAATAGTTGAAACATCACCGGTTGGGCCAATGTTTGTTGAGTGTCCTTTGGTGGGGTGATGAATCGTTCTGAAACATGGTGAGCCCCGTCATCGGTTGATGGGACGACAAAGGGCGTGCTGAATTGAGGTTTGTTAGACATCGCAAGCGCAGGTTTTTGGGGGTCGCTCCCAAGCCACACCTTATGAGATTTTGCCGAGCTTCCCATCCCTTGTGTGTTTGGGCATTTCAACTGGCTTGGGAGTGATGCGCTGAGTAACCCTCAATGACACTTTCAAGGGCCTCAACGCCGGTCCTGAGACTGTGGCCAACCAACCCACCCACCCGCCAACAAACCAACCCCAACCCACCAACCCACTGGCCAACCCACCAACCCACTGGCCAACCCACCAACCCCCAACCCACCAACCCACCGACCAACCCACCAACACACCAACCCACCAACCCACTAGCCAACCCACCAACCCACCAACCGGAGCACAAGCACAGGCCCCAGCAGATTTTTTGCGCCATGCGACTGCACGCTGAGAGGCAGCTGACGGAGCTGTCCGCCGTGGCGGTGGAGTGCGAGGAGGTGCTCAATGAGGATCAAGACGTGGACAGCGCCATGGTGGAAAGCTGGGGTTCAGGTGGCCATGGGTCAAAATCCCGTACCCCCCAGTGAACATCCCAATCCCCACTGAAATAGACTAAAATGGGTGGTGCAGCTACCCCAAAATGGGATCCCATTGGTTTTGACCAACAGCCAGGTTGCCATTTCCTGTGACAAGGACGTCCCCTTCAAAACGATTCTCAATTTAGGCACAGGGATGGGAACTTGTCTTGGACCTGGAATTGCCGGCTGGACCCGCCAGTCATGACTCACGAGATTTGCTTTAGGGGCCGAAATGGTTGGATCTTAAAAGTGGCCCTTGCGCGTGCCCAAGATTGTCGGAGTCGAAACTTGAGCTCCGCTTTGCGTGGTCCAAGAATCCAAGTGGGTCGAAAAAACATGAAAAGCGCGGCCTTTTCGTTGTGTAAGGGGTTGTCCCTGAACTTGTTTCGCAGGCCCAAGTCATCGCAAGACGATGAGGAAAAAAGGCAACGATACCCCCAGAAGCCAGGAAGACAAATTGGTTCGAATAGTCTTCATAGGTGTCCTTTTTGGTCGATTTGGTCGAAAATAGAGGGCTCTGGTTTACCTGGTGATTCAATCAACTACCAGGGCCATCTATTTTCACAAAAAGGACACCTATGATAGTCTTGGCTTTGTTGAGCCGCACCCCGTGTTGTTGAGAAGATCATGAGGCAAGTGTTGCTAAACGAACCGATACTCAAACCGATCCTCAGTCGATACCTAACCGATACTCATGCCTGTCAAGTCCAACCAGCTGCCCAGGAACGAGCCCTGTCTTTGGTTTGCTATCTTCACACTCCTCTTCCTGATGACCGAACCTGCTTGTGATGGCTAGCTGTGTTTCCTATGCGTGTCACTTGGCCACGTCAACGACTTATAGTTCGCTTGACAACTTGTACTGTAGCCGGCAAAAACATTGTAAGCCGATGCTGGGGAAAAGAAACGATACTAAGCGATACTAGAATATAAGGGTACAACAAATTCCATACGTTTACATATATATATATATATATATTAATATTACACAATAATAATTGATAGGATGATTCAGTGTCATTATCAGTAGTAGTATTAGCAATCGTATTGTTAGTATTAGTACTATTATCATTGTTTCATTATTGTATTTATTATGTACTAATTAGTGTATATGGTTGACTGTTGTTCTTTTGAATTGCTCTTGTTATTGGTATCATTATTGGTATTGTTATTAGTGTTGTTATTATTATGTGTTCTGTATTGTTATCAGGAACCGGCGTTTTTTCTTTGAATTTACACCAGACGTGTTTATTTTGAAATTCCTCACTTTGGATTCTCATGTGTGTTTTATTATTATTTTGTTTTTTTTCTCACAGACAAAGCGAGCAAGTAAGTGAGTGAGCGACTGGTGGTTGCAAAGAAAACAAACACCTCGGTCCCACGCCTGGGGGGGTGCAGACATTTTGTTCAATGAAATCACACCTGGGGGGTCCCAGTGTGTTTTCGTTTTGAAATCACGCCTGGGGGGTTTCGGTGATTGTTTTTTTGAAATCACGCCTCGGGGTCCCGGTGCTTGTTTTGTTGCATTCATGCCTGTGGGCCGGGGCGTTTTGTCTTTTGAATTCACGTCTTGGGGCTCCGCCTTCTTTTTTTGAAATCACGCCTCTGGACTGGTGACTTTTTTTGAAATCACGCTTGGCGGTCCTAGTGTGTTTTTTTGTTAATCAAGCCTGGGCGGGATTTCAAACATGCAAACACCGGAGCCCCGAAGCGTGACTTCAAAAGAAAAATCACCAGTCCAGAGGCGTGATTTCAAAAAAAAGAAGGCGGAGCCCCAAGGCGTGAATTCAAAAGAAAAAACGCCCCGGCCCACAGGCATGAATGCAACAAAACAAGCACCGGGACCCCGAGGCGTGATTTCAAAAAAACAATCACCGAACGAACCCCTCCAGGCTTGATTTCAACAAAACACACACCGGGACCCCCCTAGCGTGATTTCAACAAAAAAACACAACGGGACCCCCCAGGCGTGATTAAAAAAAACAAACAAAACACCTGGGCCCCCAGGTGGTATTTCAATCAAAAAAAAACACCTGGGACCCCCCAGCGTGATTTCAACATATGTGATTCCAAGCAAAAATACACCGGAGCCTATTATTATGTGTTCTGTATTGTTGTTTATTTATTGTGTAGTGTTTATTATTCAACAGTATTATCATTTCAGCCTAAGTGGTGTTCAGAATACCAGCCGAACCCCAGAGTGCAGTGCTGCTCCTCTTGTTGATTCAAAGTGGCGAGTCTTGGGCGCCGCCAATAGCGAGACACCTAGGCTCAGGGTTCCTATTTGGCTGTGGCTCAAAAAATGGTACCCCAAATGGCACCTTGGAATATGGAAACGAAGACTGAACCTGCGTAACCCCAGCTGTTTGATTTTGAGCCATACCCATTTGCCCGGGGCAGCGCCATCGAATTGTTGTCCGAGGCGAAATGTCCCTGAAGGTTTTGGTGGTCATCGATCCGCTGGATGACAAAACCCTGGAGGCCGGCCAAGCAGCCAAATGGCCCGGAGCACGTGGAGTCCCTCCTGAGCGGTTGGGTGATCGGCCAAGTGGCCATGGGTCAAAATCCCGGTTATCCCCCAGTGAACATCCCAATCCCCACTAAAATAGACTAAAATGGGTGGTGCACCTGCCCCAAAATGGGATCCCATTGGCATTGACCCACAGCCAAGTTAGCAAGTGTTTACCAACATGGGTTGTGACCTATCCCTATATTTCCTTGGATGGCTTTAAATATCACCTTTTTGTACCTTTGAAAGGGTTTCCCCTTTGCTGGGGGTGATGTTTAAAGGGGGATATTTTGGGAGCCCTCTAAAAGGGACACCCATAGGCTACCCAGGTTACCAATCAAGCGGCCCCCCCCCCCCGCCCCCCGCCCCATTGGTGCGTCGAGAGGCTGGCTTGGTGGTGCAAGCTGCTGCGTCCTCATCCTTGCCTTCCTCCTGGGCGTGGCCGCTTCGATTGAGCCAAACCCTGGAGCGCTTGAAGACATTGTTTGTCCAAAAGTACCAGTATGAACAGTGCATTTGAACAGATACTACTGCTACTACTACTACTACTACTACAACCACTACTACTACAACCACTACTACTACTACTACGACGACGACTACTACTACTACTACTACTACTACTACTACTACTACTACTACTACAACCACTACTACTACAACCACTACTACTACTACGACGACGACTACTACTACTACTACTACTACTACTACTACAACCACTACTACTACAACCACTACTACTACTACTACGACGACGACTACTACTACTACAGCTACTACTACTACTACTACTACTACTACTACTATTACTACTACTACTATTACTACTACTACTATTACTACTGCTACTACTACTACTACTACTACTACTACTACTGCTACTACTACTACTACTACTACTACTACTACTACTACTACTACTACTACTACTACTACTACTACTACTACTACTACTACTACTACTACTACTACTAACTACTACTAACTACGTTTTGGGCTAGGATTATATAAGCCAATTACCTTCTGATATTTGCAAAGCTGGTTTATAAGTATTCAGCCCTTCCTGTCAGTTGCCCCACATGTTTCCCAACCATCGGAGGCCTTTTTTGAGCGTCACTGGGCAATCAAGACTGCTGTGGCTAATGCTCATTCCCGGATGAAGTTCTGGGATGGTTCAGTCAGGTATCAACGTTGCAAAAGCACGCGCTGGGTGCCCTTCAAAGCACTAAGAGTCATCAAGATATCCATTCCAGCCATTTGGGGGTTCGACGCTGCATGAGCGCACGGCATACAGGAGAGTGTTACCTGCCATTCTTCAACGAAATGCGTTGCTAGGATGAACAAGCCCATATGATAATATGGGGGTCTCGTTTGAGGGCACACTTTTTAGGGATGCTTTAAAGGGAAACCAAAAGGAAGGCCAACATGTGTTGTGTGTTGGGTCTCCCTATTTTGAGACTGTTTGAAAGCACCCTTCAGCTTCTTGACCGTGTTCGCTCCAGCCTGTTTATGTTGAATGGCTACGGAGAACTGGTACAAAACATGTAGAAACATACATATATATATATATTGTTCCACAGCAAGTGCGGATCAGCTTGTTGTCCCACACCTAGACCAGATCAAACAATGGAAAGGTTTGACAGAGCCCAAAGCAGGGAATGGGAGGGTTGGAGGATTCCGAGCCATCGGGCGCCGTAGAGCCTTGACATGAGGTATATGACTTTGTCGGGTGGCGGGCCGGGGCTGCGGGGCTCCTGGTGTTTCCCATTTTGGAAACAAACGTTGCTGTGGCCGTTCAAGTGTTTCTGGTCCACTCGGACTCGGATCAAATAGGACTAAAACCAAGGATCTGTCAACTAAGACTGGGACCGACGATTTGCCTCTGATTTTGATAGTATTTTCAAGGATAAGTTCCTCTATAATGTCCGTACATGTTTTAACGTCCAAGCTAGGACTGGAACCAAGGTTCTCTCAACTAGGACTAGGGCCAAGCTAGGTCTAGACTATTTGACTCTAATTCGTATAGTAGTTGAATGTCAAGTCCAAAGTTCTGTTGGAAAGACAATCCGTTGTACTGCACCTCTTGATTTGAACTAGACTAGCCAAACATTGAATTCCATTTTAAGATAGGAATTCTGATTGGAGTACCTTTGTCGAACTTTTATTTAGTTTCAGTTAGAAGCTACATACAACTTGATAAATATATTAAGCAGACTTCACAAGGAGCTTGCTTTGTAATGTCCTTTGTACCTTCCAATTAGAATCAAGGGTCACTAGGACTAGAACTAAGACTAGACTATTTAACTCTAGTTCTTATGGCATTTGAATTTCAAGTATAACATTATACTGGACAGAAAACCCTGTGTACCATTTGACGTGAAATAGAATAGTCAATATGTGAATTCCAAATGAAGATATAAATTATGACTGGAGTGTGTCCTTTGTTGAAATCCTATTGAATTTCAGTTAGACATTGCGTAGAACTTGATAGTTATATTACTCACAATTAATGAGGGAAGATCTAGAGGTCCCATGCTAATTTATATGGTTTCTGATTTGGAACACAACTCTATTGGACAGAATAGATTGTGTAACATCTAAGCTCTTTTAAATAGGAATTTGATTGGCGGCTTTCATTAGGGAAGAGTTCAGCGGTCCCAATTTCCTTTTCACTAGTATTCAAATCTAGGCCTCGATGGAAATCGATTGACATTTGAATCCTGCCTAAAGCTTCCAGAATACTTTGTGGAAATACACTTTTTTGTACTGCTTTCCCGAAAGCCCGAAAAAAGGCAGAAAACACCGCAATTACCAGTGAATTCTTCAAAAAGGTAGGTCCCTGGGGGAGGACACCATATAAATAAACATATATATATATACACATTGTGTATATGCTATGCGCACGTGTTTATGTACGTGTTGGTGGATGGACATCCCAGTCATACTTGTAGTAAGTCGCTTGCTTGCTCGGATTCGCGCTGAGGCCTCGGCACCAGTCCGAGGCGGGCGAAACCAACGGCGCACGCTGGATCCGGGACACCACGATTGTGGGTAACGGGGTTTCTGTGGGAACTAAGGAAAACCTTGGAGGTGCTGGAAGGTTTCTGTGAAATTGTTGGGGTGGTTTCAAGAATTTCTGTGGTACGGAAGCCCCAGTGAGAGCGACCAAGAAGTCAGGGAATGGCGCGTTTCGGTATCACCGGAAGGTATCGACATATTGTCTACCATGCGGGATTCGGTTGTCATTTGGCCACACCTGAATCCGAACCAGTATCACGCAAGTGCAAGCGGCAAACAGATCTTCCTGGGCTAGTCAACTTAGGGGCTTTACCTGATGTCAATACTAACGATCACATGGTATTGTCTGGGATGCTCTCGGGATGCTCACTCAATGATTCATTAGGACCTATTGATAACGAATTTATGAGATCATTTGATGAATATAGTAATTTTAGACATGAAGATATGTCATCAAAATTAATTGAACTATTAGTTGAAGCTAATGAAGTTAAGGTAGCTAAAGATGAATTATGTTTGATTGAAGCATTAGTTAGTCCATCACCTTGTGATGAAACTGTTGAGCAGTACAAAGCTAGAAAAACGTTTTTTTAGTTGATATTATTCTCTCCGCATGGCCATGTTCTCGTTTCTCAGCCGCGATTTCGCAACAAGCCAGAATTGGGAGGGCAGGGGCCATTTTGAAATAATCTCACAGGACAATGAGAAGGCATTCCTTCGAGCTCGAATCCACACTCAACCTGCTATATTTGCTTCTTGTATTTGGATGCTCCTGTTGTAAAGCTGAACTTTGCTACCACTAGCCCATGTTGTGGTCATGCTCGTGTTCAAACAGCGGATGCGCTTTGGAACACGCGACAGCGCCGATGCCATTATTTCATTGAGGTGCAACCACCGACCTCCTTCGTGAGGACATGTTCCATGAAGCGCCGCCGAAAAGGTCCACTTTTAGAACTTGATGGACCTTCAGCCAAGCTGAGGCATAAGAGCTCAAGGACCCCAACCTCCAGTCAATATAGTGGGGGGTTGTCCCAAGGGGACCCTTCCCCTTCTTCTTGATATGGTCTGTACAACGAGAAATGATATAGGCTGGGGATGGCAGCGGGTCTTGCTGCTTCGCGTCAGTCTCCGCGAGCGCCTGTGAGGGAGCTGGCAACAACGACTGGTGCTCTGGGAATCTTGGAGATAGATGGGCGCTCCACAAAGTCGACATGAAGGATATGTCAAACGGAGTGCCAAATGTCGTCCTGCCTTTCCCATACCCATCAAGCCTCGTCACCGATTCTATGTTAGTTTTCGGTTGGTTTGGTAAAACGTCAGGCGCTTGGTTTGATCTTGGTCTTGTCAATAGGCTGAGTGCTAGTTTCAAGGCATGCCGGCGCCGCACCAAGGAAGGAGCTGCAGCAAAGACTGAGTTGGTTGAAGGAGAACAGGCGCCTTTGCTTGCAACTCTAGGGGCAACTTCCGTGTTCCTTTCAGGGAGCCTTCTGCTTTTCAAAAACCACCCAAAACCCCAGGGGAAGTAGCTGGTGTTTGTTGAACAGACTGGGATGCTATCCGGAATCGGGCACGCCCAGCGACACAGAACAAAATAAGTGTTGTTACGGCCGCAGACCAACCAGCGATATTGCCTGTGAACTATGATATGGCAGCCATCCCCCAGTGTCACTCGTTGGCTATTTGACCAGGGCAACATAGAACTGCTTCCATTCGAAGTAGTAGTCAGCGTTCGGCGTTGCTCCAAAGATGGAAGTGTTGAGGAATGCTGGCAATGTCAAGCTCTTTGTGATGTTTTGGCTGTAGCCTGAGCAGCTTGAAACTACAATCCCGCGTCTCGGTTGATTCGCGAGGTAGAACTGGCCTGGCTTGAAATATGCATTTCTTGTGTACCCTCCCTCCAACAATCATGGAAGAGGACAGGGGGCCCCCTTTTTTGAGCCACACCCATATGTTCTGCAGAGCTTGCATATTGACATCTTGTTCTACGGCTTTATCTATGCTCCCTGCTCCCTCCCCAGGCTGGTGCATAGGCAACCCCGCCGCAATGATTGAACATCAAACATCCAAAACTATCAGTTCCCTTCCCTCCAATCATCATGGAAGCTGACACAAGGGTTTTGGGAGACTGCAACGTGGTAAATGAACAAGTAGACTAAAACCCGCGGTTCCCCCTTACCTTGCACAGGTAGTGTACGCTGTGCATGTTTCACAATATAACCAATCAAAACCAAACCACCAAACCAACCCACCAGACGTCACCCAAGTGGCTGTGAACCTT